AAAGCTCTGTTATGGCTGAGTGTACTGCACTCAAACCCCTCAGCCTGAGAACCATATGTACAGGCTTCTTCCAACTTGGGGTGATGTCATGGGCCTGGAATGGAGGGCTTGTTTAAACGGTAAACATCACAGAGCACTCTGCATCCTACGGACTACTGTCTAGCCAAAGCTCTCTTTTTTTCCTTTGCTCCCCTGTCTTTCAAAATGCTCCCTGTCTCTCGCCTTCTCATTTCCCTCTCTTTTTCTGTCTGTCATTCTCTCTCGTGCTTTTGGTCCTGGTTACCTTAAGCGCGCACACACACACACACTTTCATTTCTCATTTCTTGGCCTGTTTTCTTGCCATCATATGGTTTCTCCCTGTGACCTCACTCACTAATTAAATGCAGACACTTTCTCTCCTTGTGAAAAAAAAAAGTTTATGGGGTAAAGTGGGAAGGAAGAAATGTGGACAAAAGACATACCGTTTTCAAGCAGCCAGTCTGTTCCTTGGAAAAGCAAGTCAGTTGCTGAGAAACGCAAGGCTCTTTGGTGACATGGTTACAGGAAAATAGACACTTTTTGGAAAATAAGCTTTTTTATTTTCTTCCACAAAAGAGAGGTTTGTGAGGTTTGTGCAAGTAAGTGGTCTATTAGAAGCGCTGTTGGTGCACTCCTGTTATATGGAAGTCAACTCATCTAAGGTACTTAAAAAAGGCACAGGCAATATCCAGTACACTGGAGGCCTGCTGACACTAGGGGAAAATGGCCAAGTGGGAGTCACTAGGCAATTGAATGGCAGCAACAGTTTATTTTTAAACATTTAAATAGATTTCCCTCCCTTCAGTCTGACTTATTTGTGTAGGTGGACTGCATCATCTCCAGCCAGCAGGGGCTTCTCATGTTTTATATTCTATTTTTTTTTTACTGAAGCTCTTGCATTAATATTTTTGAGTCTGTCTATCAGCTCATCCTTTATACTGATTCCACTGCAGAATGGTGGACTTAGCCTTTCCTGACAGCCTGTTAGTAAGGCAGGAGCAGATTAAATCATGGTACAGTCTCTCAGAAAGTGTGTGGGGGGTGTTCATTATTGCCAATGCTAATAGCAAGAAGGAACGCCACAGCCTAGATCTCCAACAAATATGATCATGTGCTTTCTGCCCTTCTGGAGGATAATACATGTGAAACAAAAATAATTCAGCGATGGTTTTGGTTTTATTGTTGTGCATTTCAGTGAATCAAATGCCATATCTGCCCTCTGAGATGCAGTTTCATTTGAAACGTCTTGTTAGTAGAAGACGCAGTGTTATGCCTCCCCTGTGGCTCATTTGTACCATGAGGACCTGATCTGTTATTAGAAAGAAGTTCTGCAGACAGTAGAGCTGTAACATTTGTGTTTTAATTGCTTTGACCTTTGGCCTAGTCAAATAATTTGGCATACACCAACTGCACTGTGAGTTCCCACTATTATTTGTTTTGTGGTTTTTTTAGTCTCTTTTATGGAGAATTACAGGTTCAATCTGACACTTTCTGTGACACATTTTGGCCTTCAGCCGGAGAAGAATTATAAAAAAGGATGCTTGAGCTCTGAAAAACATTTGATATAAAACAACGATTAAAAATATTCTAATTGTCTGCAAATAGCTAGATTACAAAAGCAAGAATTGGGGTTTATGCTCACATTAAATTAAACTTGTCCTGTCTGGCAGTTGAAAAAAAAATCAATATTTAATGGTGGCTTTTTGTCTTCCTGAATTTCATTCCAATGGAAACCCACCAGGAAGTTTAGGTTTGTAACTTACAGATGCTAAAATGGATCAGTTTTTATTTGATCATGGCGGGAATATAAAAGTATCCTAGGGTTCCACATATCCGGATTGATTAACTTAAGAACTGAGATATGTGCAGTAGAGCATAATATCTAAAGCCTGACAACAAATGTTCATTCGTTGTTTTTCCTTCTATTAAGACCTTTAGTTAAAGTAAAAAAAAACTGTGCCACAAGGTTTGTCTATTTTGGGATTTGCTGTGTTTTTTTATCTTTTTTCTTTCTCAGCTAGAGAGTATAAATCATATCCACATGGACGAAAAAAGGTCTAGACTGCAAATGAAGGGAGAATGACTTGCCCCATCTAATGCTGAGAGAGTTCAGGGAAAAAGTTATCCACTTAAAGTCAACTGGAGGTCACGCTGCAGTGACTTCACCACACCAGTGATTCACTCACTATCAGCCCCATGAGTTCTGTAAAAACAATGCATTCTGAATTTCTTAAGCCTTTTTCCTTTGTCCAGAAAGCAAATTTGAAGTCAATACAACTCATCAGAATGAAAATAGAACCTAAACCTTTGAAAGAAAAGGGCGTTCTTCTGCAGGTGTGGCACACCTTAAGTTAAGTCCCTTCCAGGTGTTTAGGGACTAGTTAGAAACTGCCTTCAATTTTCCATTTTCTGAAAAAGGAGGTTGACGGTACTTTTTATTTATACCATTCATTGAAATTTCTTTCTGCTTTGTGGCCATCTTTTATTAAATTCAGTTCAGCAAATCAACAAAGCCCAAATAAACCATACAAGAAGAACAGAGACCCGGTATTAAAAGCTTGCAACTCAGTGATTAGCTGACTATAAAAGGTGGATAACTACTGTAACTGCTGAACAGTAGACATCTTACCACATTTACCACAGTTGTTGCCCGAGATTAGGCCAGCCTTTTTAAAACTCAAATTCCAGTTTGTGTTTTGATAATTTAGTGAGAGCACATTAAAGATTAAAAGGTATTTGTGTGTAAGTGTGTTTCTAGCCTGCCTGTGTGGGTGACGGGTAGATTGCTGGGTCTGTTGTATTTGTTTTTCCTTTGTGAGAACACCTATGTGTTGACCCTTTGGTGTGAGTGAAGGTGATGGATGTGAGTGAAGTCCTTGTCATTCTGGGTGGTAGATCCAGTTAGCTTTTCTTATTGGCTGAACCTGATCACAGAATGTCCCAGGACTGCACTGTGATAGCCTGGAGTTGAATGAACAAGAAGGGCTCTTTTAGGGATACTGGGATATGTATTATACTATTTATAACATGTATTGATATGTATTACTATACTGTATTCAGTGGTGAGGTCCAAGGTGATTGATTTGCAGGTAGTTAAGGTTTCTTCTGGCACTGAGGGTGGCAGTGGATTATGTAGGGGTAGGGCCTAGGATTCTTAGTGAAGATAGTGACATTTTGAATTCAAGCTTTAATTAGTGCATCCAGTCATAATTATTTGCAGCTTTATTTTTGACCTTTATTAAGCTTTATGAGGCTTGAACATATTCCATTTGTTTTACTCTATGATTCTTTCTTTTACTGAATCTTTTGAAAGGAAAGTGCATTCCTCTGCAGCTGTTACACCTATACATTCAAGAAATACAAAGGATTCCTATTATCTATTTAGACTTATTTATAAGTCTCTTTCTGTCTTTCATAAGACGTTTTGAAATTTACTGCACTGTTTTGGGATGTTCTGGACTGTCTACAAGACATGTTCGTTGTCTATTATTAATAGTATTAAGTGTGAACTTGCTAACATTGTCTTGATAAATGGCTTATTTAGAAAGTACAAATGAGAATTAGTAAACAACTGTATTCTTATGTTAATATCCATAGCAATGGATCAGGGAAATATTATGATCACATTCGTGTATCTGGTGAAAAGTTATTCTGGTATACTAATGAGGGAGTTCCTCATTAATTAATAAGGTAATAATTTTGCAATTATTCATCTTTAGGTGAATAATTGTCTAATTGTCAAGGGGAAAACTGTTTTTTTTAGAGTTCTTTGGCAATGTTATTTTTAGGTTTGAAAGCCTTTATGTTGTTTAAGCTTTGTGGTAAAAACACTTGGAATAGAAATTAATAGAATAGAAACGTCTCTTTGAGTCCAGACAATATGTTTTCAGATTTTAAATCATTCCAGGATGCTCAATCCAATAGCACCTGCTAGGGATTTCTGAGAGGCTGTGGGATTTGTGGTGCAGACAGTAAATGTTAAAGAAAGGGGAATTCTCATGGTCTTCAGAATAGGTACAGACACCAATACAAAATAAAAGTTTTCTTTTCTAATTTCCCAATTTCCCACAACCGTCCCACATATTTGAAATGTTGTTGCTACTGTAATGTTTTGACATGGTGTAATTTAATTAAAATTATTTTTCTACCAATGTACTATCATGTGAGTGTGTGTTCTATTATTTAAGTATTGTCCAAAGCAGAAGAATGCTGCCAAAAGCATGGAAGAAGGATTTAAAGGGATACCCACACTCTTTCCATTTCTTCAAGGTTAATAGTTTTTACTTCATTGCAAGGAAAACCAACCCCGATCCCAAAGAGTCCCAGTCCAGTTAGTCTTATGGATCATCCTAAACCCAACTGGTTTTTAAAAATCAGGATCACTAGGTACTGTAAACAAGCTGTTTAGAGGAGGGATTTTATACCTTGAAGGCTGACGGTGTTCTTAAATCTCTGGATTTTGAGATAACTTAGCTTAACATATTGTTTTATTTAATTGATCTCGGTTAAATGATCCATGTCTTTAAAAATTGATGACTTAGCAGTTACCTAGGAAATGTCTCTCTTTACCCAGGTGAGAAACCCTGCTTGAATTAATGTGCACACTGATAATAAGAGACTCACTCTTTTAGGAAGGGTGTGTACACATAGGAATGAGAGGGAAAAAAAGGTATTGTTCATATTGATCTTTTTTTTAAATTTCCCTCCATACCACATTTTTTTAGATCAACAAGGGTCACTTTTGCTGTAACAGTAACATATTATTATTGTAACAGACCCCTTTGATCATCTTCCAGTGCTTATTTACTGCGGTACTATTGAGTCTGACTCCACTAATTCCTTACTTTACACCCTATATATGTCATAAAAGTTCATAGTGTGTAAACATAACCTTCCTGCATTCATTTAACTTTTAAGAAAAGTAGCAGCTGCCATCTACTGGAACATGACAGATATAACAGTTTGTTTCTTTTCTTCACAGATCATGATTCAGAAACCAAAAGAGTTCAAGACATGCTTTCAGGAATCGAAAAACCACAGGTAGGCCTCCAATGATCAAATAAAACTGACAGGATTTCCAGAACACAAACATGATTAATAACCAAACCTTGATTTATCAAGCTCTGGAATTTACAATTCTATGTGTTAGAATGACAGACATAATTGCATATGAATCATATAGAAGGAAATGGTCCACTCATAAATGGTTGTTGTATAGGTTAGAGGAAAGACTGCAGGTTTGTTGCTTCATAATTTCTGGTTCTCAAGTTTGGTTCAACATTAAGTGTAATAGAAGACTTGCTTAATGGGGAATTATGAAGACTAATTTGTCACATTTGTCTCAATTTCTCATTTGTAGATATGATGTTTTAATAGCTGGGTTCCAGGTCATCCCAGGTTAGGTAATTGGTCCTTAACCTTCCCGAAATCTTGGAAGTCTGCTTTGTCCACTTGGTGGCAGAATATTGCCACAATTGAAAATGCCTTTTCAAAGTTGCAGTGAATATGTTTTGCAGGAATTCAATGGAATTATTTTCTGTTAAATGCTAGAATCTTTTGAGGGCCTGACTAAGGTAACCAAAAAGTTTTTGTGAATGCAGCCAGTTTATTGCACGTAAGGTAATGAGTTCAAGCTCCTTCCACACTCGGCTTTTAATGTTCTCTCAACATTTTATTATAAATTTGAATTTATAACTTTATAATACATTTATGCTGCTGAAATAATGACTTTTAATGTTTTTGAATAAACACAAATAAAGTTTATATATTTGGAATTCTGGGGGATATCAAAATTTGAGAGAAACAACATTTTAGCCTGGTCATACATTTTCCTGTTATTTTTCATCAGATGTGTTTTCCATATTAAATCTTTGAGGGTAAAAAAAGGTTTACAGGTTTGGTTGAAAGCAGCTGTTCTACATAATGAAAATTGAATCCTGGTATAATTTCAACTTTATTATGACACTTAAGATGCACCACTGAGAGTGCAATAAAATGCAAATCATAATACTGGTAATATCACCTTAGAGCCATGTGGAGTTAATTAAGTTAAGCAGTTCTTTTTAACTTAGTGTCATTGTGTCATTGCACACAAATGTATTGAGTCTGTACCCTGAGTGTTTATGCATGATGAAATGTATTATAAGATTTTGTTTTTGCTGTTTGAACAGTTTGTTATTCAGTGTCGGAATGATTCAAAATTCTCTTCCATACTATCCTTGCAAAATGACCAGAATACCAACACTTGAAGGTTTAGGCATCTATGTTTAACAGTTTCAGTTAAAGGACCAAAGTCCTTTTCATAACTGACCATTTAGCTCATTTCATAGCTAGTATCACTGCAGTGTTTGTTTTCCCCAGAATGATCCTCTGAAAGGATCATCACTAGCTTCACTGATTTCCACTAGGTTTGAAAAAGGAATAGAAATATTGCGTGGACTTGCAAGAAAACGAAGACAAAAGCTATAAAAAAGCTAAACAGATAAGGACGTTATTTGATAATTGTCAAACAAATTCGCACACAAAAACATTTAAGAGGCCTTATCTCAGAATATATATTAGTTTATTCAACTAATTAGAAACAAAATCACAGTTTCTGAAATATACCATAGTTGGAAAGAAAGCACTTCTTTCACCCACTCCCAGAGTCCTCTGTGGCCTTTACTACTGTTTACTGCTTACTTTTGTTTTTAAAAATACCAAAGAACATTATAATGCATCCTCCCACATACACAATGACACAAAAAATTAATAGATGCTGCACATAGCCAGTGCCCTCAAATTTTCTGCTTGGTAACAAGAGGGTAATAATAGATAAATCGCTGCTTTATCTGTTTATAGCTCATCTTCTTTCATGCTGCCTTAGATACAGGAAAATGGAGCTGATTAGTGCTGCAGCAGAATCACCTCACATATCAGTCTAACCACGAAACCTGAAGACTTGTGCATAACTATCCTCCCATGAGAGTCTTTCTTCAGTGTAGAGTCCCTATTTGTAAAGCACTCATTTATTAGAGGGTCTTACTGTTGGTGGGAGACCTTAATTTACAAAAAATAAACTAGGAGAGGAGCATTCAGAAAAGCGGTTTCAGGTCATTTGTGTGCAGTATCTCTGGGTTGCATTGTGGTTTAACAAAACCAAAATATCTGTTGGTAACTTATTTATAACAGAAACACCAAAATGGTGAAGTACAACACACTAGTTTTGTGCCAAATGGTTAATAGAGTTAAAGGCTAAAAGAAACATAATACAAGGTTTTGTATAAATGTTACAGAAATGAAGGTTGAAAGGTAATGTGGAAAATTTTGCTTGAAATTATCAAAAGGCTTTTATCGATCCGAAGAAAAACTGAAACTTAATAAGCTCTGTGATATTACTGTATCAAATAAGTCACCTTATAAAAATCAACATGGGCTACTGAGCTAAATATTTATGTTGTATATGTGTAGTGTTCCATCACCCTCAAGAAGCTGTTTCTAATTTTATGTGACAACTACTTGTTATATACAGTAGCTTTGCTGTGCTTGCAGCATTACACACACTGTAAAAGAATATGAACCTTAAGACATGCAAGGACACAAGCTTTGCTTGAAGTAGATCCATGTGATTTCATTGAAATAGAGAGAAAGGTGCAGTGGCACACAAGAGTGGCGTGTGTGGTCAATCATTTATGCCAGCAGCCATATCACCCTGTAACTCACAACTAGCAACCCACTGAGCCTGGTCAGTACCTGGATAAGAGACCTCCTGGGAAAAACTAAGGTTGCTGCTGGAAGAGGTGTTAGTGGGGCCAGCAGGGGGCGATCACATGCGGTCCATGTGGGTCCTAATGCCCCACTATAGTGACAGGGAGACTATACTGTAAACAGGTGCCGTCCTTCGGATGAGACGTAAAACCGAGGTCCTGACTCTCTGTGGTCATTAAAAATCCCAGGGCTTTTCTCGAAAAGAGTAGGGGTGTAACCCCGGTGTCCTGGCCAAATTTCCCATTGGCCCTTACCAATCATGGCCTCCTAATAATCCCCCTCTATGAATTGGCTTCATTACTCTGCTCTCCTCCCCACTAATAGCTGATGTGTGGTGAGTGTTCTGGCGCACTATGGCTGCCGTCGCATCATCCAAGTGGGGCTGCACATTGGTGGTGGTGGAAGAGAGTCCCCATTACCTGTAAAGCGCTTTGAGTGGAGTGGCCAGAAAAGTGCCATATAAGTGTAAGCAATTATTATGATTATCATTATCATGATCCAGAGACTAAGACAGACCTCCATCACCTTCATATGCCAGAGCAAGGCCCAGATATTAGTCCGGTTGAAAACCCATGGAACTATTCGTACCAGCAGTTCAGTACCATAATTTCTGCCACCCAAAGGCAATTCTGCTAGAAGAATGACTCGGAACATCTTTTGTAGTGAATTTGTCTTCTTTCTTACACTTGCACAAACAAAGCCTGCACAGTGTGCATGACATGAAGCAAAGATGATTTGGTGAAGATGAATCAATGATACGCTGTACCACAGTTTTCATCACGTAATACTTTTATAAGCCCAATGTACTGTATTTTAAAAGTTCTCTGTACTTGCAACTGTAGTGTTGTTTAATCTCGCCAGAGCATATTATTAGCCCTTTGCTCAAAGAATTTGTTAATGCTTTTCAAAATACCTTTTCTGCATCTTTCTTGTTTGTTTATTTTTAAGAAAGTTCAAGAAATCTATTTGAACCTTCACCACTTTAGTATCGAAAAGAAAAAAGACGAATTGCTTTAACAGAATGATTTTTAAATTTTGTTACCTCTCATCTTTCCTTGGAAGATTGAATTTGGTTTCCTGTGTCCTTTAAGAAAGGACAAATAAAATAAAATGATTGTGCTCCATGCCAAGTATCTCAGTAGGATCCTTGCTGACTCGTGTTACTTGTGTACAGTAGCCAAACCTGGGGATGTGATGTGATGCTTTTGTTGCCTTACAAGCTCAAGCTTATATTAATATATGTAATACAAGCATATACCTGTACATTTTTATTATGCTCATTTATTGTCCATAGAAAAAAAATGGTTATAGTATAAAAATAAGTGCAAGCTGCCAATATTTGACATAATAGCAATTAATTGCCATTTTCTCAGGAAAGTTAAAAGGTAAAGTCCATACCAGAACCACAGTGGCTCATTGAGTTTCTGTAGTGTTAAGCAGAATAGAGAGCTGAGACTATTGCATATTACACAAAGAGCACCACTCTTCCATCACAAACAAAAGGACACTCTGCAAACAGTACACCTTTAGTAACCAAACTGGAATGAAATGGACCATAATGCCCAAGAAATGTTCATCCCAGTCCTCCAATGGTTGGGTTGTAAAATCAGCAGCCAAGTACGTTGTTGACCTGCAGTTTTGCTGTTATTATTTTCTAGTAGCCTTAATTAAATGATTCAAGTAGGTAGCTGCGTCAACATGCGTAGGCTGCAAAGGAACAAGTAAAGGTGTATTCCATGCTGAAAAGAGAAATAAGAAAACACAAAGTTTCTGCTGTGGAGCCTTCTTCTTGTGCCACACCTGAAGAAGACTCCACAGCCAAAATGTTGTGTTTCTTTTCTTTTCAGCACAGAATAAACCTTTACTCCTTCCTTATTTGAATGATTCTCTTTTAAGTGAAGGGTCAAGCTCGGGAATCTTTATTGAGAGTAATCACTTAAAAAAGGCTTCCTCCAGCCAGAAATGGATGAGAAGCCATGGCCAGAAGTGCTTCATTTGACTTAAATCAACCATTAAACATAACTTTTTAGAAAGAACCGGGCATTAACTATATAAAGAATTAGAAATTTTGAAGCATGTTGGGCAGGTTTGTGACTTTTTCAGGCACGCAGTGAAACCTGCTTTGTATGCAGGTGTGCTGAAAGGTTGAAATTTTCATTATAGGCCTGAGACCTCAACATTTTGTTTTTTTGCTGTTGTAAGTGGCATTTAACTTCAGTTCATTTAGTGTAAGTCACTGAAGCTTATAATGTAAACTGTGAGACATCAGCAAAGCTGTGGAAAATTGCAGTCTTCTTTCTCGGTTTGCTTTAAGATTTTAGTTCATTTACTACTAGAATTTATAAACATTAATGTTTCATATCCTATATGTTTTTTTATCTTTGTGCTGCAGTGTGCAAATGCTGAACTTTCTGAGATATTCAAAATGCATTTGAAAAAATACTATATAAAGCAAGAGACCAGCACAGATTACCCTGCATTAGAGAATATTTCATGCAAGAAAGATAACTTTGTGTGAATATGAATAAGCAGGATTGATGTTTGAACTTTTCTTTGTATTAAATCAAAGATTTTCATTTAAATAAGGAGTTGTGGGGTTATTTTGAGTGACTAATCTATCAAAATATCATTAAATATTAGAGATGTTTAATGACCTATGAAAACTACTTACTGCCTTTCATTAAAAATTAACTATGCGCCCAGATATTTTACTACACTTGTGGTTGGGTTTCAGCAACTTAAAAAAAAAAACTTTATTGAATGCTTAGCATGAGATTTTCAGTGTATAAACTTAATTCAGTTCTAAAAGCCTGGGGATACAAACAGACTCTCCTAAATACGAAACTTAGCTCATTTTGTTGTGGTTTTTTGTGTGTTTATTGTAATTTAATTTTGTATCACAAAGTTAACTTTGTTTGCCTTCACAATGTCACAAAAAGCATTAAATCATGTTTGCACAATGTGGTCTGCCTGTGAAGCCTTTGAAGAGGTATTACAAGTTGATAAATTGTCAACTCATGCATGACATAATGCAATTTTAGCCTCTTAAGAGCTTCTTACTGCGCTCCCACCCCCAACCCCTCCGTCCTCAAAACGAAAATGTTTGTCCCCTTGAAAAATTAGAATGCTGGCAATTCATCATGGCAACATATAATTCAGTTTTAAATTAGATGTGCAATGCCTTAGGATGAAGTCGTCGTCATTCTGCTTGCTTTGCAAATTTAAACAGCATCATCCATAAATTTCATGCTCTCCTCTGAGCATCCTAGCAGTTTTCCCCATCAACACTGTTCTGAACAGATTTAGTGTGTACAATGCAGGCTGGCGATGGGACAAAGCAACAGTTTGTTGGTGCAGACTGGGAATTAGTGGAGGTTAATAAGTCGTTCCTAATTTTCTTCATTTGAGCGTTTTCCACAACCTCTAGGACTCGAGAATTGACATGTGATAAGTTGTTTTTTTTATTGCAGAACATGGGGCAATCTCATTGCCTTTTCACATCGTCTGTAGCATGAAAGCTTCCCTTTTGATTTGTTGTGCAGTTGAATTGCAGACGTTTTCCTTTTAAGAGTAGATTTACTGTCAAGTACTGGTAGTTAAAATTAGGCATTTCTTACTGATTAATAAAATTTGTTTTCCTCTTTTACCCTGACATTTTTTTGTCTCCTGGAGTAAAGATTGCATGCAGTTGCAAATCAATGTGAAATGTAATTAAAAGTAAATAGAGAAGATAGACCTGAACTGTGTTTGTCTGTTTGAAAATGTAATAGAAACAAATCCAATCAGTTTAAATTAATTTTACTTACATTTTTCTCATTTTTCTAACGAAGGAGTAAAGAGTTTCCTTTGCGAGCAGGCTTAAAAGGCTATAACTCTGGCAAGTGCATTATGCTGTCTTTTATAAAACGTGTAATTCTATAAATGGTAATAGTTCCTATTATTAAAATCTGATGTGGCATAAAAATTAGTTATTCCACAAGGTTGTTAATCGCATTGATAAATGGGCGAATCTTTGTTAATCTGTGTTACTCGCATGTAGCTGGGCTGCTGTTGTTTATTTCTATGCCTGCTTATTCTGAAAGCATGTTTTACCTCACACAGATCAAAATATTAAGAAGACCAGTAGCATTTTAAACTGTAAAGAAAGTCAGATTGACAGTGATGTGACACTGACAGAGTGGGTTTCTAATAAACGTTTTATTTTGTTTACACATTAAACTGATGTGCATATGAATGGTTTAATAGATATTCAATAAACCAATAACTATAAACTGAGAATTTTAATAAAGCATCCATATACATATGGTGGTGATGAGGTGAATGTGTTGGTTGGAGTTTGTATGAATACTACCGTGTGACTGTGCTTTATTAACATTCTACAGAACCTCATATTAAAAATGATCAGATCACTAGTAGAATACCTTCAGTGACCTTAATGTGTTAAAATGTCTCATTGAAAATGATTTACTTAAGCAGAGTAGTTCATGTAATTGCACATAGCTGATCTTATATCACATTCCTGCTGTGAATCAGATTGCTTAAATATTTCCTGTATTTTTAAAGGTGTCTAACATTCAAGCCAGGACAGCCAGATTGACTTGGAATCCGCCGTCTGGGCTCCTGAATGGAGACAGGCACACCAATGGTATCCCATACTCATGCAGCTATGAGGTGATGCTTTCAGACAAGGGGAGGGATGGAAAGTACAACATTATTTACAGGTGAGCATTACTGTAGTTTCTGAATGGATGTTTTCTTAAAATAATTTTGCTTACAGTATATGTTCCACAGACAACCCTAAATCTTCCACAGACAACCTGTGTTCTCATCATACATTTAGTATTTTGTATCTGTGCTCAAATATTATTCATGAAGTTAGGTGTGAAAATCTTAGAATTTATTTTTACTTATTTTTTCCAGGGTAACAAGGCTATTTTTAAGGGCAAGGAATTACTAACCCGTGATGGTGGACAGTAATAACAGTTTAAAACAACATAAAAACAGTAATAACAGTAATAACTGTTTAGTTAACATATTTCACATTATTTTGAAAAAACTTTGAAAATTTATGGCAGGCAATTCTGTGTTTCCAGCAGGCTCATACGTAATTTAAGTAAAGCCCTTATTAGTTGATGAAAGATTTTACCACTGCAATTTGCTCCGCTGTTTTGGTAGCCAGGTGAAACGGAATGTTAATCATCCCGTTTTCACACCAGCAGAGTCCAATCAGTTGTGAAGAAAAAAAGGATTGACAGGACCTGACAAGCTTTAGCTGGAGAGGCAGTCGTTATTATCCCCCAGGCTCATTTGCCCCTGAGCAGCATTGCTTGGAAGCAGTGAAGTCTGAAAAGTCTGACTTGCTGATTCAGTGAACACTGTGGTTTTGAACAAAACCACTTACCAGTCAGCTAATCCGCCTTGGTCAATCATGTTTAGATGTATAGCTGCTTGGTCTGTCCATACATCATCAAGCAGCAATTACATTTTTTTGTGTGTTAACAGACTAAACTACATACAAGGTTGAAAGAATGAATTCTTAAGAGTGCCCTGATCAATAGTGATTTCGGCATCACACCTTTGTTTCAAAATATTTAATTCTAATGATTTCCTCACCTGGCATAAAGTGAAATCTTATTTATTTGAAATCTCATTAAGCTGAATTTTGTTGTTGTATGTTGTTTTATGTTTATACAGCAAAACCAAGATTGCAAAAGGAAACAATGAAAGACTTAAGCACCAAATATTATTACTCATTTAGAAGGGTCAAACTCAGTACATTTAGGTGTTCAGTCAATTATATTGACACAGTGTACCTATTTATATGGCTTTATTAGAAAAGAATAAACTATTCTCTGGGTGTCCTGAAGAAAGCTTTTCATTTAGATTAGGTTCAGTTGGTAAAATATATAAGCAATGTTAACAAAACCATCCAGGTTTTTCATTATTGGTCAATAGGTGTTGATAGGTTCAGAGCAGAATTGCTAGGATATTTTTAATTTCTGAAGGCTATAAAAAGCAGAAGAGAGTTTATCATTTACTTAGTAATAACAGACAGAGCTGAGGGACATGGAAACCACATGAACCTTTAAATCTTACCACTAATCTCTCTTGTTTTACTGCGCATTATGGTTTGTAGAGCTTGTAAGTGTGGTGATGTCTGTGTGAATCGAGACCATCTGTTTAATTTTAAACTCTTTCAAATTCTAAACAAATGAGATACGCGGTAGACAAAACAGTGAAATGCTCAGAATGCAGTAGACTATTTTCTGTTAAGAACAGTGGCTGTTCTGATATCGGGGTTCATGAATCAAAAACAAACCTAAGGATGTGTTTTAACCGTAAACCAATTCTTTACTGCCAGACAAACTCCTCAGGGAGGAGTTATACCTTGAGGCTCAGGAAAGTGCATTTTATTCATCTTATAAGAGCACAATGATAGCTGCCCTACAAAAGACTACATGTCTGGACTAGTCGTGAAATTTCTATGTGCTTGTATAAAATCAGAAGCTATTGTTGTCTTATTCTCTTTTTTTTTTTGCTGTGGAGACAGCAGCTGGAGGCCCGCCGTTCATTTCAGTGTCTGTCGATGTAAAACAGCCACAGAGCATTGAAAATCGCCTGTGTGCTTGATCACTATTGTCTGACTCCTTGCAGGGTGTGTGTCTGAGTTATGGAGTTCGCAGACTTTCATGTAGAAACGATGTTGCTGCAGTGCTGAGAACCTCACATCTTCCAGACCTTTCTATTGTAGCTGGTAATACCAGTACTGATTTCAGAGGTGCTGAACAGAGGAAGGAAACAAAAATGAGCTGTTCAAATCTGCCAAGTCAGAAGTTAAAATCTTCAAAGCAACTCATGAATACAGTTTACCTGCTCATGAAAAGTTGATGGTATGCAAAGCCTTTCAGTATTTTTACTTTTGCATAGCAAGAGTAGAAAACCCTAAAGAATTTCAGTGGAACAAAAACAGAATTTTCTAGGTCATACCTAAACAGTCTCCTGTCATCACTGTTAGGAAATGACAAGATTATTGACATATTTGAAAATCAAATTTCTGTGTCACAAAATGGCCTCTACTACACCTTTAATTTTTTTCAAATGGTTCAGCAGCATTAGTATGGTTAATCTGTTTGCAGAAGCATCTTGAATTTTTTCTAGTCATGTGCTTCAATCCACATAAAATGTTTCAAAGGTTGTGTTTTACGGTTTAATGCATTTTGTCATAGGATAAGGACGAAGGTCCTTTGTTTTCCCTCAGTGTGTTTTGGCAGCTCTTGCTTTGGACTCACAAATTTGGACAAATCTGGATTCACCAGGGGTCTTTAGGGCCCAGATGTGAGCAGTTACCTCATTTGCTTCTCACTCCAGTTCGTATCCAGTGGAACTGCAATGATTAATAGGATGCAATGTTTTTCCACTTACTGTAAATGGTAAATATCATCAAGAGACATGATGGGAAGTTCAGTAATAAGCCTAAAGGCTCATTCTGTAGGACATCATGGTTATAAATGTGCTGCCATTGTAGGGAGAATAGCCTCATTCGTTTTTTTACTGCGGGGTATTTCAGCTTCACACAATCTATACAAATCAACAAGTCATGTCTTTTATTCTTTTTTTAAATCTTAATTGCGACAGAAATAGCAAATGATGAGCCTAGATAGGGGCTCTTATTGTGTTTGAGTGAGCCCTTTTAACCACTGCTTCATTTACTTTATAGTATGGAATAGGGATGCATTCCTAAACTGTAGATTTTGATCTTGAGTAAAGGTATTCTTGGCATAGAGTGATATTCAATATTTTTTAATTGTTCAAAATGTAATCAATAATTATAATATGACTCATACTGATTCTAGACATTACTTAGTTAAGTATAGATCTTCATTGTCCATTACATTACTGTTTGTGTCTCTTATAATTGTAATCTTATTCAATTAAAGAATAATTAATTCAATAAAAAACAACTAGAGAACAGTTCTGTGTGCCCTACTAAGAAAAGCATGATATTCTGTACATATGATACTATATATACTGTATGATGATGAACTGTTTACACACTGTTTGTCTTATGTGCCTTAAACTTTGTTGCAATGCCTATGTGGTATTGCAGTAATTGGTGATAGATTTAGCAGTGTTATGGGGATATTCCAACTTTCATGAATCAGATTATTAAAGGATAAAACAAGTGTTTAATGATAAAGTGTGGTGTAGAGTGTGTGTACTACTAATTCCATAATTATTTTTAATTGTGATTGCTAATTTTACAAACAAATCAAAAACTAGCTCTTGAACAGACTGGATGTTTGGTATATGACTGCTGGGTCTAGATAATTAAAAACCAATTAATTCTCTCCTTTTCTTCTTTTCCAGTGGAGAAGACTTAGAATGTAATTTGAAAAACTTAAGACCAGCAACAGACTATCACGTGAGGTTAGTAGGAGCTTTGAACGTTCTTTGTTATATAATTCAAATAAGTGCTGCTGTTCAGCACCTACTATAACCTGAAGAATTGAATGTACTCAAGACTAAAAGTTGAATAAGTGTACTTCTAATATAAATTTGATTTCTACTTCTTTGATTATGGTCCCTGAAGAGTAGGTCTGAGTGCTGGTTTAATGTAATTATTCCATATAATGTGCTGTAGAGTGCTTTAAAATCATGCCTCTACTAAATTTTCAGTTATTTTTGTAAAAGTGCATAGCTGCTTTTGATGTGTTGTAATGTACTAATAATGAGTTTCTCATAAATATTTGGTTAAGCGGTCAATTATGTGAGCTACACCAGATTGATTTCAGTTATGTGTTTTGAATTGAATGAGTGTGCTAATTTATTTAAATACATAACAGAAAATATTATATTTTTAATTATGCCTAAAATATGCTTGTCATACTATGCTCCTGAGTTGAAAGTGTTATGTGCTAATTTGGATTTGTGTGTCTAGTACCTTAGTAATCTGATTTTACCTATTGTAAGCTGTAGATAAGACTTAAATATACTATATACTGTATATACAGTTTGTGTTCTTTATAGCCTCTACTAGTTAATAGAAAGGTTTAACTTCACTGTTCTTCACTTCACTGCTGTAATGGATAACTTACTATCTTCTCAAAATAAAAACCACAAAATGAAGATAGAAATTGTGTTTGGGTGTGGTTTAGGTGACATACGGCTCTTAGAAAGCAGACATTTATAAAACAGATTTACTACTATATTCATTTAGTGCAATAAATATATAATCACCCATGAATCATTTAAAAAAAAAGACTAGTAGAGAGCTTGAAAGATGAACTATAATATCAATGTCTTTTTCACATGGGGAATAGGGAAAAAAATCTAAAGGTCAACATGGTGATTTGCATAGTCACAGGTCAAAATGTCTTCAGTTTTTATTATAGAATGGATCAAGTTTATGAATATGCCCTTTAGAGTCTGTCATGCACCAAGTAGTACTAAATCCAAGAAGGGAAGAAACATCTGCTTGGAAATGTACAACCTATAATATCATTCTTAAAGTCCTTCTGCAGCTTTACTGGAATCAGAAATTTGACAGTTACCCAAGGGGAACCAGCTGCACTATGTCAAAATCAAACCTTGTTGCACCTTAACTAACATGAATATGTTTTTTAAAATCTGTTTGACTATGAGTATGCTAAACAGTCGCAATTATCCAAGTGCATCAACCTATTCAGTATATTTTTTCCTTGTTCACGCCTGTTAGAAAATATATTTAATGATGGCCAGTGTTACTGACTCCTTCATTTTCAAACTCTAAAAGCGTCTGACAAGACCAGATGGTACCAGTGATTTAATATACAGCAAAATACATTTTAGCGTCAATTTAATTTTTGCTAAGCTCAAAAGTCTCTCGGGTCTAATGGAGTTGACTTTGCTTTGCTTGTTTGTTTAAGTGACAGACCATTTACATTTTGTTCCAGGTGATTAAGGTCTGTTTTAATGTGTTCGTCACCTTCATTATTTTAAAGGTTGTGGCAAATTTTCCTATCTGTCGAAAAGGTGTGACAGAGATGTTGAGTCAGTTTTGCAGACAAGCTTCTTCCCTGGCTTGGCTCTGAGCTTGTGTGGTCACTGGAGTGCATAAAGGAAATGGCCTTTCTGGAACTGGCGAATCCACAGCCAGCACTGCAGTGAAATGCAGCATTAGTCAGCTGTAGCAGTAGGACATCTTAGCAAGGGACTGGATTTAAATTTAAATACATTTCGATGTGTTTATTCCAATGAATTAGGATTTAAAAGCTGCACACATTGATATAATACTTCCTCACTATATGGGCCATGTAAACTGAGCTTATTTATTCCAATATCACATAACCTTGGGTACCATTTATAAAGCGTACAAAACATGTTTTGTTTACATGCCCTACTGACATATGGGTTTGTGTGTTCATGATTTTGTCCAACACTGTATGTGATTGCAGCTGTTTTACTTTTGATGTTCTGATACATATATTTTCAGAGTCAACGCAGTGTATAACACTGTCAAGGGATCGTCTTCGGAAACAGGAAGCTTTACCACACAGTGCAGCACACCTGACTGTCCCTGCCCTCCAAAACTGTCTCACAGGACCAAAAGTTCCCTCACTTTGCAGTGGAAGGTATGACTGACCAGTAATCCCTCCCACTTAGCAAACATCTGTGCTAGAATTATGAACAATGAGATAAAGTATGAGAATGGGCTGTATACTGAGAAGCTTTGGTTCCAATACTCTTTTTTTGCACTTTTAATGCCTCTCAGTAAATTTCATGTATGTTTTTTTTTCAGTTTAGTGATGAATATTAAGTCAGCAGTGTTTCTCAAACTGGATATCTGTACAGCCCCAAACCCAGAGATGTAAACAAAAAAATAAAAGGAAATCTGACAAGCAAAGACTATGACAAATGTTTTTTCTCTTCTCAGCAGTCTGCCAGTATAGCATTTTAGGTGTGTTGTTCTGACATCTTAACATTTGCTGTTGAAAGTTCTCTAGAAATTAAAGTGTACTGTTTCTTTCAAGTAGATCAGAATTTACCAGGTTTGAAACTTGATAATCTTGAGATGCTGCTCACTTAAAATTAAATTGTTTTTCATAATATAAGTTTAATACCTAAATGTTTTTTTCTTTATAGTTGAGTTTTGAAATGGTAATTCAAATGCTTTTCCTTTTATGCTTGTCTTTAATATGTGTCCCTCAGAAATGATAAATGGCCTATATAAATTATAGCAATGTTATTCTTCCAAAATCACACAAGAATTGTAATCATTGTGTGTGTATTCTTTTGTAATTTCTTTGTGATTAAAAAAAGTTAAGATTCTTGTGGTACTTCAGGTGACCTCGTTATAACCAGAAGAGAGCAAATGGAATCAACCACTACTTTTCATAAAAGATGTCTTAAAAGCAAAAACTTTTGAATTTTCAGTACTAGCCCATTTTAACTAAATCACACAGGTCATCGTGTCAGTAGGGTACTAAGTTTCCATTCGGAACACAAATAAAGACAGTGTGCCTAAAATTAAGACTTTTTTGTTTGTTTGTTTCTGAAAGATTTTCATCTTTCTTTTAGGCACCAGTGGACAACGGATCAAAAATCACCAGCTACCTGTTAGAATGGGATGAGGTATTTTTGTGATGATCAGCTTTTAAAAAATAGAACAAAAATCAAGCAACATGGCAAGAAGGCTAAGAGATAATTATCTTTGATGTTCGCGTCTGTTATGCTTATTAAACATTTTAGATTGAATTCCTCTTGATAGGGTTCTTAGTATCCACCCGACTTGATGACTTCCCAGCCTGCTTTAATCCTTGGCTACACTGCATGACCAGTCTCTGTTCTCAAAAACATTCTAATTGACAGCCAAAACATTGTGCCTGTTTTATTTTCCTTTCAGCATGGAATAAACCTTTACCTGTTCATTTGCAGCCTACGCATGCTGACGTAGCTACCCACTCTAACTCTAGTCCAGCTCAATGCATCCTCATCCATTACCAGGAGTAATGTGACAGAATTTAGATTAGTGTTATATTATCCTTACTTCTAACAAATCACAACATATAATACACCGTAATTAGAACCAGATCATACTGTCCAGGCTCAAGGACACCATAAAATACATTGCAGTGTGGATATAGTACCAATATGGAAGAAAGCATAGTGTAAATAGGACCTTAGATTTTTGTGTGCAAGACTAAACATTGTTTTAAATCATGGATTTAGTTCTGTTGTCTTGGGGTAAATCACTTGGAGAGGACTTACAGGAGAGGTTTAATTCTGTTAAACCTAACCTTCAAGCCTCGTGTGCTGACATTCTCTATTCACCATCCAGTTTATGGAACAACCTTGCACACTTTAGGATGCTTCTTCACCGTTTTGAAAACAAACTGAACAATAAAGATTTTTAGAAAGTAGAACAAAGCTGTCAGCAAACAATAAGCTACAGTGTTATGTTTAAAATTTCATTACCCACTTGATAGAAGCGGTTTCTGTGAAATAGCCCAATGTTGTATATCACATAAATTATCAATCTGAACTGAGGTGTCAGTGATTTTATTGTGCATCACAATTGAAACTAATCCCTAAGACAGATCCCTAGAACTTCATCTTGTCCATGAAATAGGAATTTATGGGATGATAAATGGCTGAAGATAAAAAGCTATCTCCTGCAGACTTTTAAATCACTTATAATAACCAGAAGAGCAAAACTAACCCTTCCAGCTAGAGACAATTTGTACAACTATGAGCACAGTAAAATTTAATAGGAATCTCAAATAGTTAAAAGTGCAGCATTGACATATTTTGGATGTGGTTCAGCAATACTGAAATTTCTTTAAATAGTTTTGTTCCAGCACAGGCAACTTAGGTGTTAAAAGCTTTGGGGTTATTAAATGGTATATTGTATTACATCTGCTATTACCATGTAAAAACACATTTGAACATTTAGCTATTAAGGTGTTTTTGCACAGTAATTTTCAATCAGTGCCTCGCTGTCATTCCAGTCTGTGTACAACATGTTGTGGCAGATCTCCTTTTAATTGCAGCGGGGATGTTTTGTCCTTTCAGTCTACATTTCCTTTCTCATTTATCAGCAAAAGACTCCCTGTGGTTTTGTCTGCCTTCTGTTTTTTAAGGTGGTGCTGGAAGACTAAAAGAACCTCCAAATGCTGGATTGTACCTATGTAGGTTTCATAGTGACTATTGTCCTGTAGGCCTCCCAATAAAATATGCACATCCTGTGGCCAAATACTTCTTGAAAAATGAAAGTAGTATTGTAAGGCAATGCTGCCTTCTAGTGCTTTCCCTAATAGTATCAAATTGCTTATGAGAAAGAGCCTCCTCACAGTGCTGGTTCCTTTCCTTGTATCCAGTGCTAAGAAGCAAAGTAAAATGTTAAATTCAGATTCAATTCAATTTAGCATACTGTATATGACCCATGCTTGACAATCCAAAACTAAATATGCTGTTTTTTTTATTAAACAGGAAACTTGGTAAATAGATGCCAAGTAACTAAAAGAGTCGGGTTGAAAAATACGTCAATTTGAAAGTCTCAGGCTATAATGATATTTTTATTTACATTTCCCACAGTTCATCTGTTTGTTGAGTTTCTGGGTGGATCTTGTAGGATTCACGCACATTTGAATGGATCCTTCTAGGATGTTTGAAAAAGGTTGTGGCTGTGATTAAATGTTGTATTTCTTATAAAATGCCAATAGGTTTGGCAGACAGAGCTTTTGACAAAATCCATCTTGTAAAGGGATTGCTTTTGCGTTTCTTTTCCTCTTTAATATCCTATGTCAATGGGCCTTTGGAAAGAAAGTTGAGAAACATAAAAAGTCCTACACCGTGAGCGAGGAGGCTATTAACTGATCTGGAGGATACAAATGAATTGGTGTCCTGTGGAGGCAAGTGTAGCTGCTGGCCTCATTATTAGCTCTTAACTTCATCTCTAGAATGAAGCCAAAGTCATTGCATTAACCACACTATCCATCAAACACTAATGATCTGATGGCACATTGACGGACAGTTACGATACTTTTTTCCTCCTTCTTCCCTTTGGCTAAAAGTGATATGATATGATATATGAAAGTGATAAAAAGAGGAAGAAGAGAGGAGTAAATACTATGGGGATACTTAACATCACTTTATTAACCCTATACAATCTCTTGCATTAGGAATTTGTCTTTTCACATGTCCCAGCTTGCTCTCCATGAGACACACAAACAGGGAGAGAAGCTTGGGATCAGAGCGCAGGGTCAGCCATTGTACAGCGCCCCTGGAGCAGCTGGGGTTAAGGGCCTTGCTCAGGGGCCCAACGGAGTAGGGTTCCTCTGCCAGCTGTGGGATTTGAACCGACAACCTTCCAGCCACAGGCGCAGATCCTTAGCCACAGAGCCAATCATCCTCTGTTTGTTACTGGGAACAAGAAGAAGTGTTATCTTTTGTTTTACTTGTTTTTATGGACTTTTTTTTTTAAATGGGGAAGGTGTAGTGTTGACATCACACAATGCAACAATATTACTAAAAGTAAAGTTCATGTAGAGATAAAAAAATGCCCGGGCTATTTCAATATTGCTTAATATCTTGTGTTTGATGTGATGTTTTTCTTCTGGCCTTGTATACTAGAACATTTATTTCCAGTCAGTGTTTTTTTTGTTAGCCCCACAGTATTCCAGTAATGTAGCGTCACAACATATCTCCTCGTTCTCCCTCATAAACAGCACATTAACTGAACAACAGTTGCAGCATATATTTTGTGACATTTAATGACCCAGCTGCATTTCATGGAAATATTCTGAGTCTGCAGGCATAAACACAACTGAAATAAACAAAAATAAGAAATATTTTGAAATGGCGGTTTTAGATAGTGGAGGAATGTTGGAGAAGGGGGCTCTCCTGTCACCCATCCAGGCCAATGGGATAATTGGGATTGAACTGGGATCCTCTTGGTAAAAGACTGGCTAGCCTTCAAATACATTTTATCCTGTCTTCTTATTTTAAAATTATGAATAGGAATGTACTTGTTTCTCTCAATGCTCACATGGAGAAAGGAGGTTAGCTGCCATTTTCCTATTTATTGCCTTTGCCCGACTTTAAATCTCACACCTGTAATGTCTTATAAATTTCATAATATTTTTATGTAATGTGGATGTGTTATTGTTTCAGTAACCTTAATCCTGCTGTGTTACTAACGCACCTAATTCATCTCCAGTTGACGACCCGCACACTCACACGGCGCAGCAGGATAAAAATAAGAATTTTGTTACCTGATTTTGGAGTAGGAGTTCTTTACATTTTCAGTTTTAATGGAATATATCAATTTGAAGTGCAGCCATTTTTCTTGCAACATTAAGCCATGTATTCATTGAGCATTTCTAGCAGAAAATGAAAGTAGTTTGAGAATTTGATTTTTTTCCCTCATTAAACAGAAATGTGTCCGTGATGACTGTATCATTCCTAATTTTGTTTTCTCTTCACTTTTTAGGGCAAGAAGAACAATGGTTTCAGAGAATGTTATTTTGGGAACCAGAGACACTATAAATTAACTAAACTCTGCCCAGCGATGGGGTACACATTTCGATTAGCAGCACGGAATGACATTGGCACTAGGTATGTCTCTAGCAAACTGTTTTGTTGCTATTTTTATTAAAGTACAGAATTAGTATCATGTAGTTTGTAAAATTCTCATTTTCATTTCTTGAATCAGTTCCACATAAGCGAGTACAACATAGTATTGCACCTCTCTCAAGGACAGAGAATAAGGAGGTTAAGTAATTTAGTTAGCATAGCAGAGTATTACTTTTCTGATAAGATAAGAACTGTCAGTCAAGGTGACTGGATTTATTTATGATTGCTCAGATCCACTAAGGACATCATATCACGTTCCTGCATGATGACCTTGTTTTATTGAAAGCTCCAGAATTTCAATGCTGTGTTGTATTACTGTTTTATGGACAGCTACAGTTATATATATATACATTTTGTTTAAAAAATTGGAGTCACCATTTAATTTTCTATAATACAAATCTCATTTTTAAATTATTTACCAGCTGACCCCTGCAGCCCATGTTCTACATGCAGAGAAACAGGCCATGTCCCAGCATGCCTTTCATATCCATTCCTCGTCAGAACTATGTCTTGCTGAAATCATGGCCAGTTCAACAGGTGCCAAGCCAAGGTCCTAGGAGTTGTTTGTGGACAAAGCCCTGGCTGGCTTAAGCCCCCTTACATACACTTGAGCCAAAGATGTTTTAAGTTGGTGATTGGTTTGTTAACTATAACTATACTGCAGCTGTTTCTGACTTTGTTCACAAGAAAACAGTTGTTTGCTCATTAACTGCCTTTGTGCCTATGAAGCTGCATAGACTTGAAATCAGCTTTTCATGACTGAAAGTACCTGCTTTCCCTTTACAGTTCTTCCTAAAGCTTTTTGGATGTTCAAAAACCTGTTTGAAGAATGACTTTCATTTAGTGCTTCACACTAATGGCCACATAAAGTTGGAAGACTAGAAGCAAACCATTTCAAAAATAATTTAATTGCTTGCAAGAAGTTTTTAGATGGTTCTTCTTTAAATTTGTGCCAAGATCTCGAGCGCTTTAAAGTGGAAGTGCTCAGATTTAAAATGTGTCGCCACTGGCAAACAAGTGTTTTTAAATTACTTTCCTATCACCTGAACTTTCAGTGACACTTTAAATTTCTCTGAGAGTTAGCAGTATAAGGAGGCCTATAAAGCCAGAAGAAAATGGCTGTCACCACCAGTTTGAAGGTGGTGATTTATATAAACTGTTAATATTGAAAGCGCATGCATTGCCTGGGATTTATGTTTATAAAAAGTACACTCCACACTGGATTCTGTGACAGTGTTGGATGCTTTTTTCCATTTTTCTCCTTGCAGATGCAGTATAACTTCTATATAGAATTACTGTGTATTATAGATATTAGATCGATTGGTGACTTGTGCATGTGACCTATAAAGTACTGATTTAAAGTTATTTTTTTAGTTAAGAATGTAGAAAACTTTTAAATTTGTGTCATTGATTTCCTTATTTTAAAATATTAGTTCCTTTCATTATTTTTCCCAGTTCTTGAAAACACATCCGTTTCTTTGCATTGGCAAGAGTGTTTGCACTGCCTATATTATAGTGCATCTTAAATCAAAATCTCCTTCTTTTGTACAACACTTCTATATCATTGAATAACATAACTGCCTCTGGTCTGTGTTGTCAGCTAACAGTTACTCTAAGACATGTCACCTGTACTTCTTTACCAAGTCTTTTTTTGGTTGAAGAGATGGGAATGTGGGTTACATTCCAATGTATTTGATGACGTTTAGCACCGAATCTCTTCTGGAATGTTGAAGACTTGTTCTGGAGCCCTGGTGTACTTCCCACTTGTACGCGTAGCTTGCCTGTGTAATGTTGCCTTTGCTTGTAATCCTGTCTGGGCAGCTCACAGGTCTCACGGTGCCTCTTTTTGATCCCCAGTGGTTTCAGCCCTGAAGTGGTGTTTTACACATCTGGCAACATCCCTCAGCTCCCCCTGCCTCCTAGGCTGGTCAGGGCAGGTATCACTTGGATCACACTGGAGTGGAACAGACCAGAAGGCTGCACCCAGGAGGAGACCATCACATACACCCTGGAAATACAGGAGGAGAATAATGTAAGGAGAATAATGTAATAATGTAAGGGCTGTTAGTGCACTCCCATGCCATCTTCTCTTACCTGCAGAACATCATTGTCAGCAGACTTAGACAGCCTTTTTGATTGAATTTGATTGTATGCATTGGTTCGTGTGCTGTGGCCAAAAATCAATCTATTTATTAAGGCAATGTATAGTGGGAATAATGCAGGGTATAAATCAGAAGTGCACAATTAACACCTTCTTGGGTCATATCTGATTTTTTCTTTACATATTCAAACTGATAAGTTGCTAAATTGGTTAATACCTGCTAAGTTGCATATTGCTGCACAGGGATTATATGCACTAGTGCTGCACTGGTACTGTTTTGTACAAGCCAGTACCGACATCAGTGTTTCCAAAACTGGGCTGCCATTCGCCAATATTGTATATTTTGTGTACATGTACAACTTAATTGAACACAAAATGCTTGCGGTGTTTTGAAGTCGATAGAAGAACATAATTATAACAGCAAAATGTCTTCTGAAGAATGCAAGCTCTTAGTAATGCATCTATTAAAAACAACATAGATAAAGATTTTTAAAAGCACTAAAAATTCTAAATATATTCAAATTAATAAACAAGACACAAAACTCAATTCTTTCTTAAGTGTAACCTATCTAGAACCTCCTCCTAAAAGCTACATTCTAGTCCAGCTTTTCTTTTGCCATTCTTGTTTAAAGTTTTAACACTAGTCTTTTCTGTCTTCTTATACTTCCATTTTGTTATTATTAGTTAAACAGCTACAGTTATATTAGATATATTATCCATTATGCAACTTACTAATACTAAGCTTCTTAAATTGGCTAAAGCTGTAAGCTTCTTAAATTAGCTAATGAAAATTGCATTCAACATCATGATGCTTAAAAGAGCTTTGCAAAAAATTTAGTTTGCACATGCCGTCTTTAGCATCTGCAGTAACTGATAAATGGAAAACATTTACCATTTATTTTAAAATTCTGTTTTGTATACTAATTTGTGTTCGACGATGTAGTGTTAAATAACTCCAACAAAGCTCTACATGAAAGTACAATATCATCTTAAATTCCCTATGGTAAACAAGATTTTTATTTTTTTAGTAGGCCCATCTCCATCTCTCTAAACGAAGTAAAACAGATGACTAAAAATACATCCAGCCTATGTTTCAAAAGCAAAATACAATATTGCTTTTAACCTCTTGTAGGAAAATAAACAGTGTTATTTACTACCACCAAAACACTTGGTTCCATCAATTTATTAAACTTATTTCATAATGTCCTTTATTAATATTCATTGCCAACAAACCTACAGTATGTGCAACACAAATGTTTCAAGTGCATTAGAAATTTAAATTACGTTTTAGCACTGAAGTTCTCCTTTTACTCAGTAAAATAGAGAGACGGAAGCTTTCAGGTGAAAACTGAGCAATTTGTTTGTGCCACCACTGTCATCATATTTATTCAAAATGAAACTTGATCTCTTGCATAAAGGAATGCCTAGTTTATCATCTATATTATAATCTGTTGAAGGTTGCTTGTTAGTATTAAGGAACCTGTTATTATTTCCTATTTGAATCCACTTAATAGCTAATTTAACACTCCTCTTTTGCCAGCTGTTGTAAAGCAGAATGTTCTATCTTTTTAGAGGGATTATTGAAAAGGTTGCAGAACCATCTGCTTACAACCTTAACCATATAACAAAACCTCCTGCAGCTCTGTATTTCTTCTCTATCAATATGATGTGCTATAAGAATTAAATTATGCACAGTTATGCCATTGAGTTGTAAGATCAGCCAAATATCAGTCCCCATTAGGCTGTTTGGCTGTTATTTCTAAAAAGTCAGATGTCACCTGGACAATAAGTCAGTCAATGTCTAATATGCAGTTATATAGTTAGGTTTCACCCATGCCTGACTGCAATATTCCTAAACCATTTTATTTTATTAATGAACAGTATATTTACTTTTGGCTTTCATGCTCATTTATTGCAAACCAAAGGCCACAAAGGTAAGCGTCTGGTACTTATCTTCATGTCATGATCTTTTTTCTCTTCACAATCCAATGGCAGGGAACTGGGTTTCATCCGAAATACACAGGGGAAACCTTGACTTGTACTGTAGAAAATCTGAAGAGAAGTACACAGTATAAATTCAGGGTAAGTGAACTCCACAGCCACATGAGAGTAACAAAGACAGTTTGGCAGAATACGTCTTCCTCTGAATATATTTTACTAACTCCTCTGTCCCTGCTTTGGCTATGAGTGAGCCATTGAATTGATTTTTAAGAGTTAGCCATACATAGTCATGAATGTCCAGGGTTGTTGGTCATTTAGAAGCTCATTCATTGCTCTTGAAGAAAACAAGAAAGTCAATTAGAAATCTTTCTATCATGTACCTTTGTTAATTAACGATACTAGTTCCAGGTGTGTTGTAGCATTACATTTAGCGTTTTTATCTTCTGTATTACTGCTGCTTTGCCATACCTTTGTAGTATATATTTAAATTAAAAATACTTTTCTTGTCAGGATCCCAAACCATTAGCTTTTAAACAAGGTAAAAACTGTATTTTAGAATAAAAGAGAACCATTAGTGTTTCTAGAATAGATAATGGAGTCTTTTTACATTAAAAGATAAGAATAAAAAACAGATCATTTAATTGCAATAGGATTTTTGACAGTAGTCAATGAAAGCCCTGTTTAAAATAGGGCTTTGAACTGACATGTTATATGAAAGCTAAGGATAAATTCCAAGGGAAGCAAATGCCAAGAAATTAAATATTCACAGTTCAACAATGCATGTTAATGTTATCTAAGTCAGAGTGATCCATCTCAACTCCTTGAGGGCTAGTCTGTCTGTAGTTTTTCTTTCCAAGTCTGCACTTAAACCTAAACGACCTAAACTTAATCATTATTAGCTTAATTGGATCACTTGACCTGTTTCTCCCAGTTCTTCAGGTCTTTAAAGAGACCTAGAAAACCTCCATGATCGGAGTAGGTCTCTGTTGTCAGAAATTTTTAAAAATGGAAAAGATGTCTATGTCTTGTAAAAGAATAAAAAAGGAGAGGAAAAGTGAAATGTGATCTAAAACTAGGCGGATTATCTATATTTGTGACATGTAGTTGTTCTTTTCTCCTTTAATTCCTCCAGCTCATTGCCTCCAACATGGAAGGGAAGAGCACTCCCAGCGAAGTTCTTGTTTGCACCACAAGCCCAGACAAGCCAGGTCCCCCCTCAAAGCCCAGTGTGAAAGGGCCCATCACACCTTACAGCTTCTGTGTGAAGTGGGGTATGTTTGATGTTCCTGTCTGCCTTCCCTAGTGGCTTGCATATTTGATATAGCTTTCTTCTGTGGTTGGAATAGCGGTAATAAAACCACCACTGTATGTTATTTGTGTTGCACAGGGTGCCATTTGCAGAACCAAATGTGCTGTTTTATTAATATATTTCCATTCCTAGGCCACTTGTATAATAAATGTCTACTCAAATAATCTAGTTTAATATGCAGGTTACCAGGCACTATATTCCCCAGTGGTGCGACCTCCCATTTTGCAGTTTTTTAGTTGTAATTTAAGAAATTAAAGTTTTATTCAAGGTAAGGAAATCAGTTAGCATTTTTCAAGTAATATTTTATTAATAAAAATCCCTAGGGATATCAGTTAATCCAACAATCCATCTCTTATCAGTACTACCTAAGAGCTTCCCTGTGTTTGACAGTAGATATATTTATTTGTCAGGCCTATCTAATCAGAATTCATAATCTTTCGGGCGATTTTGTGTATTGCAAGCTTGATTTTAAGAAGAGAAATCCTCACTGACTTGCAGACCATGAAATTAACCTTTTATCACTATGAAGTTAAACATAATGCTATTTTTAATAATGATTGGCCATATAATAAATGTTTAAACGTTTTAGTAATACAATAAGTATCATATACACATTTTTTTAAACTTAATTGTATTTGCAAATACACAGAAATGGCTAGATGACCAAATACTGTATTCATTATTAATGTAATAGATTTCTTTCCAGCTGTGGTGAAAATTAGGTTGTCTTGGAAATGCAATGATGACGTGTCTTACATTTGTCTTTATTTCTAGCTTTATCACACTCCAAATCTGTTTTAAAATAATAAAACAGTGCATTGTCGTCATACTTTGGTGTTACATGAGGTGAGATGCACGGTTGTTGGATGTTTGACTTAGTCATTTTGTTTTTTAAGACGTCTGCTTTCTTGTTTGTGTTACAGACCCCCCGCAAGACAATGGCGGTTCAGAAATCTTGAAATACCTCTTGGAAATTTCAGAAGGAAACTCTGATGGTACATTAGTCAGTCAATCTCATGTTCCATTTAATTACACCTTTGTGCTGCACTCAACAGTCATTTGTCCCTGTCTAGCAGTTTTATTTTAATCCAGTGTGGTTCTTTTACATTGAGTTCACATGGAGGTACAATAAACCCAAGCCCAGAACATTGTGTTCTCTCAGTAAATTGGTTTCAATTTTTAGAGAATTGTAATTGCACTCAGTTGTAGTACAGATAATACAAAGGCTCTCTCCACCTTGTTATCCTTGATGCTTTGTTTTGCATATGAAAGTCATTTTTATGTGTTTATTTACAGTGCTTATGAAGCCACTTTCCCTGTTTAAACAATAGTATCATGAAGACAATGATGCAATAGAAATTGGAACATATAGAAACCAACAATGGAGAACATGTTTCCAAAGAATGTAAAAGTACAAACCAGAAACCCCATAAATCATCATTCAGTTCAATTTATTTTTATATAGCACCTTTCACAACAAGGTTGCACCAAGGCGCTTAATAAAGCAAGTGACCATATATGTTGTGAATACAGAACACAAAAGACCAGAAGACAACGGAGGAGAGGAACCAAAAACTCCTTAGTAAGGAAAAAAAAACATCTAAGGGTCAAAGGTCAACTGGCTGCCCAACCCCTTTGGCCATGCTAACATTATACAATTAAAAAAAGGAATACATTAATAAGGGTATTAATCCACCCATCATGTCTTCTGTATGTCAATACTCTATGCAGATCTCTGTAGACCTGCAAAATCCTTCTAAACGATGGCTATATCCACGATTATCATCCTCTGTGATCCTAGGTGGAAAATCACTAGTATATCTTCCATTTTAACTCCTGCTGGAGTATGCCATTGTCTGTGGGAATTCCATGTGTATTTCAGACTTTACTTCCTCAAAGGTTCATAGTTTTCACAATAAAGTTGTTTGATAACTTTCTAAGCACCATGTAGGCACAATGACGTTTGAAAAATGACAGGACTAAACCTTTGTCTTCACAGCAAATCAGTGGAACATTGCATACAGTGGACCGGCTACAGAACGAGTATGTGATCACTTGAAACCAGGCACTTTGTACAGGCTCCGAACTTGCTGTATCAGCACTGGAGGGCATAGTCAGGTATGAAGAAATCCCCCAGGCTTAGCCATGGAAGCCTAATCTAGCTTGTCAGTCAGATATGACAAAAATAAATCTGGCGTTATTTTTCATGCTTTTTGTGGCCCAGCAGGCTTCTTGCATGTGTTATGAAGATACATGATACAGGTAAAGGGAAGATTAATTAGACATAAAATGTTTATTGTATTCAATTATTGTCAGTCCAAGACAGTTTGAGCATTGAAAGCTAAGTCTTATATCCTCTCTGAAAATGCTTTTAACTTTTTTTTCAATGGTTAAATTTTCATATCTTTTTTTTAAATACTGAGTCTTGCTACTGTACTCCACTTGGCGGCTTTTCGGAATCACACAGAAGAAAGGCCTGCCACTCAGTTTTGCACTTGTGTCTAATATTTCTGCAGTGTTCTGAAAGCCTGCCAGTTCGCACACTAAGTGTTGCTCCAGGTCCATGTCAACCCCCAAGAATCATAGGCAAAGTCAGACATAAGGAAGTACACTTACAGTGGGGTAAGTCGAGTTATCTTTTAATTTCTGTTCAGATCCTTCCCGGACTGATCCTCTACAAATGTGAATCATGCAGGGGGACTTTATATATCTATCTGTTTTCTAACCACATTATCCAATTCAGGGTCACGGGTGTGCCCTTTCCTGGTAATCAATGGGTGCAGGGAAGGGTATACCCTAAATGCGATGCCAGTCCATCACAGAGCACACACACACACACACCCGCATGCACTCACAGCAGGACCAATTTTCTAAGAAGACAATTAACCTGCTAGTATGTCTTCAGATAGCACCACGTAGATAGCGCCCCAGGTCTCAAATTGACCCACTGCACCACTATGCCACCCCCATAGCTGTAATTCATGGAATTAAGGTATTTTTTCAAATGCAGTAAAAAACATGGGCATCTGAGCTACCACCACAGCCACTATCAAATGAAACGGATGAGAAGATGTTGTTTACTACTTTGCTCTGAATCACGTATAAAAAACATAATCATAATTTCAAGGACAATAAGCTGTTTATAGGTAAAAAGAGCCATTTAAATCGAGAGGGTACAGCCTTTTGTATCCCTAGTGTTTGAGATTGAAATAGAACAATAAGCTTTGTTTAATAATTTTATGTACTGAGTGCAGATGCAACTTCTTCTGTTTTCACAGCTTGTGCATAAAACATCTATGAATTATTCCCGTCATTTCCTTTAAAACAATTAGGTTTGCATAAAAGGAATTGAAATGTAATTCACTATATTGCTTCTTTGTTTGATTGTGTTCAGCACTTTTTGCAGACCTTATAAGTGAATCTGCTCATGTATTACTGATATTTTGGATTTCCTTTAATGGTTGATCATAGTTGGGCTCTGAATCTGTGAATTACATTACGTTTCTTAGTAGAGTTCCCTCCTTAATCTGGTCTTAAAACTATAGCAGTTCTTTTCAGTTGTGGAATAATTTCTAACCTGTGGGCTATTACGTAATCTCAAATTGTTTTCTCTACACTTCCATTAAGTTTTCTTTTTTGTTTCTTGCTTTGTCTCCTTGTATCACTCTGACCTTGAGCAGTGCATGTACTTCCACCGAAACATCACATGGCAAAGCAATGTGCAATTTGCCTTGGTAGCGAAAAGCTATTGCTTATAGCCTGAGTCCTGCACGTATGTCTGTACAGGTGACGGGCAACAGAATGGAGAAAAAAGGGAGGCAGTAAAAGTGTCCTGCCTGAGCTCACGCACACCATCACGAATCAGCATTTCAGCGCTATGTAGAGATGGTGTCACCATGGCAACAGTTCATCAGTGAATGGATAACTAAACTGTACACATTTTCTGAAGTTCATCAGTCATCGTCATTCAGGAATCAAAAATCTAAAAACAGATCCAAAGACAAGCGTTGCTTGATCCTTGTTACAGTCTTTTTTATTTTGCTTAGCGGAGATGGGAGATTTTGTTGAAGTATCAAAAAAAATCAGTTTTCTCTTTTCAGCATGGAATAAACCTATTACTTGTTCCTTTGCAGCCTACTGACGCAGCTACACACCTGAACTACTCTATAATATTTTTCTTTAGAATTCCCCAAGAAATCCATTGTTTCTCCTCTGACCCGTCGAGATATTGCAATCAACTGAGTTCACATTCACACTTGTTCATGCTTGTTCATAAGGTTTAAATCCCTGAATTAATAAAATGGGATTTAGGAGATAACCTGATCTCAGGGGAAGGGAAGCTTCTGTGAAGTCATTTGTCTGATTTCCAGACAGTGCTATTCTAATTATGCATCTATAATAGTTGAATTGGAATATACGGAGCAATTATATTCTCCCGGACATACCCTTTTTATCTCTGTGCCTATTAAAATTCATGTCTGTAAACTGCAGTGAATCCTGAAGGCAGTCCTGTAGGGCGGCAGTTTGTTCCACTGTTACTGAAATGTCACTGCATACTCTGTGTGTCTGCCACGCTGAAAGAGTATCCTGGCACAGTCTTGCAGACATGCGTCTGCCTCCTGTAACTTATGTTAATTAAGTCACAGGACTATTGCTACGTTGAATGATACTGAAAACTTAACTACAGGGCTGGGCTTTAGACTCCTAACTGCAGGGTAATGTGTCCAAACCCCTAAAAGTAATGTTCCGTTCCACCCAGCTGTAAAAAATGAGTCCAGTACCAGCATCTTTACTGGGGGTAGGCTTTGGATGGACAAGCCCACCATTCATGGGGAAGTCAAGTGCCACCTTTTTCCCTTGCCCAGCAGAAACTGAAACATGTTCTGGCCTGATGAACAACTAGATTTGAGATGTAATTACTGCTGCCATTATAAGAAGACTGGTGATGTTTCTTTTTCTTGGGCTTTTGTGTACAGTAGCTGTAACTCGCCTGACAGCCCGTAAAAGAACGAGTTTTATTTCTCGTCGTTCTCTCTAAAGACGAGCCCATCCTCCCTCTGCTGCCCAAAGACCAGAATGGCGTGAGGGAAATGTTTTCGGATGTGTTGTGGGTTTGTCATGGGCGATGAAGGAGAGGTAAAGGTCACTTAACGACCTGGGCTTTCTTTGTCTGCAGACTGTCCTGCCTCCGAGGGAGCCTGTGAAGTGACAGAGTATAGTCTGGAAATGAGTGAAGAGAACATGGAGCCCTCGGAGGTGTATCACGGCCCTGATTTGGAGTGCACCGTCAGCAGCCTGCTCCCCGGAGCCACATATAGCTTCAGAGTCCGAGCCGCCAACGAGGCTGGGGTGGGTAAACCCGGCCCATGAAGTCTCACCGCAGTGCCTGACTGGTGAAGTTTCCATGATGTTTATCCCAAAGCACATCGAAAATTGTGCCGGGGGGCAAGCCAGTGTTAATTCAATAGGGACACACACTAGGAGTGAATGTGCTCTAGAATGTGCTTGTTAGTGGAAATGTTTGTATTTTTGTAGACGTTTTTGAATGATCTTTTGTTTCATTTGCCTGCTCCCTTAGCTTGGGAGGATTTCTTGTTCATGAAAATGAAAAGTCAGATGCAACCTTTGGGAACACTACCCTGGATTTCAGAATTAAAAAAATACACAAGGAAGGGTTTTTCCCTACACATTTTTAATATGGCATATTTCCATTTATCTAAGAGAAGGCTTGCTCTGTCTGTTTGACTTAAGTCACTTTATGACTGTTTTGTAGTGTAATGCACAGTAGCATTAATGCATCACAAACTTTCAGCCTCTTCTGTGGTCGTGTCGCTGATAGTTTGAACTTTGCTTAATCCGCTCTGGAGACATGATTCAGACACTGTCGTTTTTTATCCTGACGACCACAGAAACAGTCAATGAATTCTGTTCTCTTCCAGATCCATGCTGTCCCTAGAGAACTACTTTCTGGGCAATCAGAAAATTTTTTGTTTTAAGTGGAGAAGCTGTAATGCGTAGATGTGACATAATTCATGTCATTGTCAAAAGTGCCCCGTAATTGGGCATTAAATATACACATGCCATGTTAGTTAGATGAAATGGCTTGTTTTTCCCTCGTTTTGGAGAAGACAGTTGTTAGGTATAACACTAAACGGATTTGACAAAAGTCTGCGGAAAGTGTTAAGCTACAGGTTGCCTATTTCTGCTTTGCCTGTGAAGAGCAAATTGATTACCCTTGTAATTTTATGTTCCATTCTTAATTAATCTCTATTGCTGTTAACTCATTTTTATTGTGAGCTCGATATTGTCTTGAAATGCAAGCATGAAATTGCACTTAGAAGAAAAACTCAGAACTTTTATCTGAATATAGTATTGGGTGTATTGAACACTAAGTACAATAAGTGAGCGAATGGGAGTTTATTATTGATTTATCTTGGATATTTTTCACATCTGTACAAGTCTCTGTTTTCCTGACACAAGGTTGTAAAGATGGTTATCTGTTTGATCCTAATGTGCAAGCAAGAGGCTGTTTAGTTTGCAGTCTACATAATCCACAAAGCAGATTAAATATATGCACACGAAGGAGATCATCAATTTTTTTTGCTTTTTTAAGATCTTAGGAATGGATCTGTTTGAGAAATAAAATAAACAATGAAAATAGCTTAGTGTATACTGTGAACTTTTAACCTCATTATGCAGAGACAAAACCTGCTGGGGGTATGTGTTTAATTATCTTCGGTCTCTAGTATTTTCTGACACTTTTATTCAGATGGTTTCGTTATGACATCAGGAACTGAATGTTTCTTGCTGTGTTTTTCTAGTACGGTCCATATTCTGGAGCCACAGAGGTGACAACTGCAGCTGGGCCTCCAGGCCAGTGTAGGCCCCCCTGTCTGACCCTTACATCCAATACCTGCGTGCTGGTGAGCTGGGAGGTAAGTCCCGAAGAAGTCGTGGAGGGAGGTGATTTCATAGACATACTTGTTACTGAGAAACGCAAAGATTTTAAGTCATGTTGCATTTTCAGTTGATATTCTATAAAATAATGGCACTATAACATGGTGTAATTCCTGTAGTAAATAAGAAGAAAGTGTTGACTTTTCGTAACCCATTCATGAAGAATAAGGGTCCGGTTGATGTAGCTCTGTAGTGTCCATGTGATAAGTCAAATGGTAAATTCGGTTTGAGCTGCATAACTTCCTGCCATGGACACTGCCAATTACAGAAGCTGGATGCTGCTTGTAAAAGAATAAAGTATCCTGGAATACATTACATCAAAGGGATTGGCAGCTGAAGGGCACTGCAAATCGCAGGAGCTTCAGATGGTTTTTAACATAGATAAAACATGCCTTTCTGTACATCCCGATAGTTTGAAAAAGGTACAGAGGTAATTGCTACCCTGAACATTTCAATTTGTGCTATCAAATGGTTTCAATCTTTTGTAGTCCGGGGAGGAGAAAGCTCTTTGATTGCACAAGCCCCCACCCCCTCCCTCATACACACAAAAAAAAAATGCATGCAGCTCTTTGTGGCAGAAGAATGGGATCCACTGGCTTTTAAAGCGAATATTTTTCTTGATTAAGATTCTATATGTGAATATATATATTTAAACTGTGCAACAATGGAAATTAGGACACATTACAAATAGGACTGTGGCGTTTGCAGTCTCTTGGACAACAAGAGTACACAACAGGAGGCACTGTAACTGGAAATTTAATTCCCTAGAAACACACTGCATGATGTTGCTGTCAGTGTTGTTAATTATTCAAAGATTTAAACACATCATTTTTATAGTATTGCACAATATCACGTACAGCTAATAGAAGGTTACAGTAGGTGTCCATTCCAATCTGAAAGCTTTTTTTAGTTGCTACAGAATATACAACAAATATACCATATCTTCTCTCAGCAGTTGTCAGATGCTTGTTTCCTGTTTTCCAGAGCCCAGAGAACTCTGGGGCTGACATTTCAGAGTACAGGCTGGAGTGGAGTAAAGCAGAGGAGCCCCTGGAACTCATTTACTGTGGTACTGACACGCAGTATGAAATTTCAGATCTCGACGCAGCAACACCTTACTGCTGTAGACTACAGGTAATTATGCAGCCTGGACAATTCAAGTGATTTTGGGTTATTTTCAGAGTTCACAGCAATTACTAATCTACATTGTATCTATGAGTCTTTCAGGCTTTTTTAAAGTCCTAAGTTCTAAGATAATTGTGCAGGTGAGCAGAACAGTTATCTTTTTTTTTTATTTCTGACATGGGATTTTGATTTCTCACAATTTTTGTTGTGCATCACACCTGCAGTGCTTGTGTATCAATTCATAGATTCTCAGTGCTGACTGCAGCGTAATGTTTAATTAATTTGTTTTTTAAATTGGATATAATTCCGTAACAATGCACAACATGTTCTGGTCATAATATATTACAGACTGTATTTGCAAAAGATAATTTAGTACAGTACTGTTAAAGAGTTTTATACACTTTTATTCAACCTTATTGCTATAAAAAAACAATGCAGAAAACTTTAGTTCAGAAACATACAGCTATTTATGCCCAATGATGGATTCTTAAATTTCACAGTGCATAAACTGTGTTAATACAATGATGCAAAACTTTTTCTTTATCTCTGAAAATGACAGACAGGTCCTGACTACACCGCAAGACAGTGACCATTATTTTTCTGCATAGCGATTAAAACTTTATAGCACTATCAATCACACAAGAGCAGCGCACACTCTTTATCTTCCATTATCTTTGTGCTAAAGCGGAAGATCTCTTGCAGCACCAATTGCTTTCTAACAGTTTTCTTTGCAGGCAATGTCAGGTAATTTATGGTGAAAGAAGTAATGTCAGTGACTGCAAGGGCAGGTGAACTCAGAGTGCTCTGTAACAGTTGAAATCCTCAGGTGAAGGTTTATCCTTTACACCAAGTTTGGTTTCTTCTTAGTGTCCATTCTACTGACTTGGCATTTCAGATGATGCTACATTGACTCATTTTACTTTGTCCAATGGAAAGAATATAAAATAGCCTCAAAAGTGAGACTGTATGGACCTCCCCTCACCTGTTCCTGTAACCTTGGCAATATCAGTTTGTCTCATGGTTTATAAAGAGGGTGTCGGATTAATCCTGAGAAAAGAGAACAGGTTATGCAGACATGTAGCTTCCTGAGGTAGGGGTTAAAGTTATCTTCCGACAACAGACAACTGAGGAGAACAGTAAAAGAGCTCCTCAGATAGAATTTCCTTGAATTTTATATTTTATGTATGATTGTTTTTTAGTTTAGAGTCTGGAATTATTAATCCTCTCAATCTACCCTCCAAACTATGTAATGTGTAGAGAATGATCTATATTCTCATCTGACCTGCCCACCTGTTACTGCCACTAGACAAGCCCGGTGAGGCCTATGCAGAAGAGTTAGCACTGATTGGAGAAGTGTTGTACATCTCTCACTGACATCATTCACAGGCACTCCAAGCAGGTCTGAGAAACCCCTCAACTGCAGCAGCTCATGAATACCCTTAGCAAGCCCTGACAGCCATCAGCCAAACATAGACTTCCACATTGGAAACATGACCATATCACAAACACAGGCCAGAAAGATTTGGGCTGAGCCTGTACAATATGCTGTCCCTCTTTACTGGTATAGCAGTCAAGAACTCCATATTGTAAATAGCGGGTTTCCTGATTGCTATTGATTGCAGTGCTATGGGATACAGACAGATGCTTGTGTCACAGCAGAACACTGGTCACTTTTAATGGAGCTACTATTCAGCCACATGTGCTTCTTAACATTAGTCGGTTATGGTCACCACACCTGATTCACAGACTGGTTTTTCACAACAGATGCAGTAAAAACCTTAATATAACTAACTTAAAACAAAGAGTTAAACCACAACAGTCCCAATTTCTCTTTAATTGTTATGCACTGAGGTGAGTTCTGTTTTCAGATATTGTATGCAGAAAGGTCAAGTTCAGAGTATACAATGCTTTGTGTCTCACATATTGAACCTTTTCCAGTGGGTTGACTAATCTCTCCTAAATATCGTATTTCATCCCCCCTTGCCTGTCTGTTACAATCAAGATACATTCACAGTACTGAAAGCATTCAGTCATAAAAATATGCTAATTGAAATTGCTGTTGTCTCTGAAGTGGATTTGAATAATTTTTATTTAGTGGAAAAAAAACATAGAGGAAAGAAGGGTTATATTTTTCCCTATTTATTCACCTGTAACTCATCTTTATCAATTCAGATAGATTTTGAAACCTGTGTACAGGCTGAATTCATTATTGATTTGCCATGCCTTTTTTCATAGAGTAAAGTAGGTTAACATTAAATTCAGTAAATGAGTTTATTAATTGAGTGTGATTGCAATATAGACCTATTGCACTGTGATGGGAGGGCTGGAGTACTAATATAACGTTAAAATCTCTCAGGAGTGTTAGGGGAACGTTTTTAAGGTTTACGAAGGCCTATAAAACAGTTATGTGCTGCATATTATATGTTCAATGTCCACATTTTATTCTGCCTTTCAGAATAGTAAAAATAAAGTGTCAATTTCCTTACACTATGTTATGTATCTGAAGGAGCACAGTGAGTAATGGCAGCAATGTTTAAAAGTGATTGTGACCACTGAGACAACTTCTATTTTCAGGCTAAGGCTAGCATGCAGACTAAGCAATTTCATTCTAAAAGCAAGGCAGTGTGTATATAATAGCAAGTGCTCATGGCCATGATTGGAGTGTTGGTAGATCCTCTGCTCATGCATGTGGAGCAGTGGCACTGTGGCTAAGGATCTGCGCCTGTGGCTGGAAGGTTGCCAGTTCAAATCCCACGTCCATCGGAGGAATCCAACTCCGTTGGGCCCATGAGCAAGGCCCTTAACCCCAGCTGCTCCAGGGGTGCCATATACAGTAAATGGCTGACCTTGCGCTCTAACCCCAAACTTCTCTCTTCCTGTCTGTGTGTCTCATGGAGAGCAAGTTGGGGTGAAAAGTCAAAGTGAAAAGACAAATTCCTAATACAAGAAATTGTATATGGCCAATAAAGTGATCTTATCTTATCACTTAACTGGATGTGTGAAATTTAACACTGAATGTACAAAATGCTGTGCTTCTAAATATATTCCAAAACTGATCAGGTTTGTCTTTTCTCCCATGTGAATGAATTAGCAGCTATAAAATGGGGAAGGACGGTGGCTGGCGGCCGGAAATGACAAGAGCATGCTGCCTTCAAGTTATTTTCCATAGCAACATAAAAACGAGATGGAGACCTTGGGGATGTTTAAAATGGGAAATTGCTGTGGAGATGGTTTTACTGTGTCTGGGTTGTAACACGAGGCAGTGGTGTTTCCTGCGTGAAACATACAAATATTTTTAAATATAAAGGAACCCATCATGCTTTTCTGCAGAATTAACTGAATTAAAAATGAAGCTCTGTTAAAAAAGCATTCTGCCCTGTCTCAAGGGGGAGAAGTTCCCATCTAATCTTAGAGATGTACTGTATTTGGTTATTACTCAACGATTTTCCCAGTCCTTCAGTTCCTTCCTGTGTGTTTTTTTTAAATATGTTCTGGTTTTATCAGGAATAAAGAGACACTGAGTTCCTCTTCATTTTTTGGTTCCAGGCTGCCAACCAAGCAGGAGCAGGGTCCTACAGCGAGCTGGTGACATGCAGGACTCCTGCCTCTGTGCCTGACATGGTCTCCACGCTGTTTGTTTTAGACAGCGATCACATAGATGCACATTTAATTTCCCCCTCCACGTGCCTTGCTTTAAAATGGGAAGAGCCTTGCAATAATGGATCAGAAGTAATTTCATACACCATCGAACTGGGAGACAGTCAAATTATAGTGGACAATGTGACCTGCTATGTGGTTGAAGGGCTGCAGCCAGACAGTGAATACAGGTGAGCAAAGCCATTAAGCAATTTCACTCTTATATGTGCTGCTTGTATAAAATAAGCCATTACTGGTTTATTTTTTCCATTTAACTTTTCTGGGTAAAGCCATAATATACTTTTTTTTTCCATAGGGTTGTGCTATAAATTTAAAAAAAGTAAAGAGCATGTTCATTTCAATTTTCATGGTATTTCTACATTAATGCAGAACTACATCTTTCACTATATGTTTTGAGGGGACCCAAACCCCTTAATGAAACATTCTCTGAATCAGCATGCAAAGCATTCGCGTATTTCAGATTGCCAGAAATACAGGGTTGTTTCGTGAGGAAGAAACTTGACCAAACTGACTGCGAGAACAACAAAAAAACATAATTTAATATATGAATGCTTGTTTGAAGTGTGACAGAGCCTGATTTTATCCATACCAGCAGAAACAAACCAGGCATTTCTGTATAAAGGTCACTTGTGGAATGGACAGCGATATGCTCAGTGTAAAAATATAATCATGGGTTGCAGTGCCCATCTGACAAGAGTGCCTGCTTCAGGAGCTGCGAGCTATGATTAACACCCTAGCTGTATGATTTTGATAACATTTTAATGCTCTGCCTTTTAAACTGACTCTGCAGCCAGAAGAATAATGATGGCTCTTAAAATATGCTGCAGTTATTGTACTGCATCGTTGTGCTGCCTCCTGAAGTATTGGGTGTTATCTGCGTCACTCAGACAGATCTTTACTATTTCTAACTTATTTGGACATTACATTAAAGGGTTTGTGTAAGTGATCACTTCACTCTGTGGAAGTATCTAACTTGTACAGCAAGCCTGATACACATTCTGATAAGGCTGATTAATGACATAATGTTTTCTCCATTGCTTGAACTTTTAAACTACCCTGTGATAATGCTTTCCTTCCCAGCAACAGCCTTCAGAAATAATGCTTTATTGCCCAGAAAAAGCAACTATTGTATGGAGCTGTAACTATTTGTATGCAGGTTAGGCAAGTCATAAAAGCATTGATATAGTGTTTCTTTGTCTAGCCAGACAGGACAGGTGTCTGATGGCAATAGGTCCAAGTGCTGTATCCAGGAGCTCCTGAAAAAAAAACACACTTACTGGTGAAGTGTCTGCTGTTCTTTAGAACAAGAAGTTTAGTGGTTTCACCAGTCATGTTTTTTTTAAGTTTCCTTCGATTGTTTAGCAGTCTTTTTATACAGTGGTTGACTTGATGCTTTCTTCAGTACTTAGTTGGACCTGCACACTCAGACATTCACAACACAATCCCAGCTGCTCATAGTAAACCTGCTTTCTTGTATCTTTCAGTATTAGCTTTCTGTTTACGGTCTTCTTCTGGTCAGTCCTGCTGACCGTTTTATACTCTAAAACTGTTTATTTAATAATTGATATGAATGTCCTTTGGGAAGCATAGTGGTACTGTGGTTAGCATTGCTGCCTCACAGTGGGGGGGGCCCTGTGATGGAATCACGTTCCATTCAGAGTGTATCCTACCTGTGACCATTGCTTGCCAACTTCCCCGTGTCCCAGAATTGGTTGCAGAGGTTAGAAAATGGATGGATGGATTAACTTTGCAACACTAAGCATGCTAAAGGGAGTTCCAAGCTTAAGATAAAAGAATAACATGTTTTATTAATGGGCTTCAGCAGAATGATTTAATGTAAATGTCTTTGGACTTCCAATGCTTGTAAGGTACCACCAAATCTGTTTACTTCAATATCCTATACATATACAGTATAGATACTTCTGTCTCAAAGGCATCTTCTCCCATTAAATGTCAATTAAATGTCTGTGTCAGTTAAGCATGCTATGTTACATTTCTAATGTGCACATCTGCAAAATGGTGATGCAGATTGGATTTAATTTAAGCAATGTCCTTAAAGAATTTTCACATTTGTCCTTCACAAATGCTTCCGAAAATAATGGAGCTCAAACTATTAACACCACTAGGTAACTATGGTTGCTATATATTCATGGAGCAATATCTTATATGTTAAAACCTATTTGATTGCTCCCTTATCTGGAATCGAACTCGGGACCCTGTGAGGCATTGGCACTAATTGTGGGTATATAGTGTAGATTACAGAACCTTGTGAGAAAGTGGCCATTAGAGAAAGAGCTTTCAGTAAATGATCCATAATTTAGTGGACTGTTCAACAAAACCAGTTATCAGTAAAGAAAATAAATTATCATGTGTCGGTTTTACTATTTTTTTTATTACATGTAGAATATTTTTTAAAAACACAATACAGGTTTTAGGTTTATTGATAAAAAAAAACCACATAGTCTAAACATTATTGTTTCACTAAATGGAATGATAAGCAATTTAGAAAATGTCTGAACTTACTTTTGAAGTAGTACAGCAGTGCCACACAAGAAAAAGAGCATTGAGAAAATCTAGAAAGATGTTGATCCTCAATTTATTTCCATAAACAACTTGAACCAGTGTTGCCTCCAAGTACTAACAGGAGCCCAGAAGTGTTTTTTCAAATTGCCTCATGTCCCTACTGTTTTTAAGGCTGATGTGGAATGGTCAGACAGCAGCAGTAAGTATACTCTAGGTGTCACTGGAAAGTCTAGCACTTTTGTCCTGACCTCAGAGATCTCTTTTGAACTTTTTAAATGTGTTACCTTAGAAGGAAGCCTTGTGCTCCACTGTCTGTAAAGTTTTTCTGAGAATATCAGTCTGTTCTATTAGTTTAGTCCTGTGAAAATACAATATTCTTGACTTCAAACCGTATTTCCTAATACAATGCGCCTACGCTGCTAGAAGTAAAAGTCTATCCAAAGGAGGCAGTTCTGTGTAGCAATGACATTTTGCCTTGATTTATAAGGACTATATTTATGGGTACAGAACCTGATAAAAAATATCTGTTATACTGCAAATCTTTACTCCTGTGTAAAACTCCTGATGCAGCAATAAAGCATAAACATTCCATAACTTGCCACAGTTTTTCTCTTCTTAGCTCTTACATAGTGTGTAAATCTATATACCAAGCCAGCTTCAGAAGACTACAAAAGCCAGAGGATGCTATGAAGAGAAATATAGTCATGATTTGAATGTAAACAGTTGTATGACAGTTTTTTAGACTGGGTTTTCCATTTGTGGACTAGGAATGCAGTTATTGAAAATGGCCCATATTATTTTTAGAGATTATATATTAAAGAATTCCCAAGTTTTGACTTTGTGGGTTTAGAAAATAGTTAAAGGAACAAAGAAGGTGACCTGATCATTAAGCTTTTGAAGATATGCAGCTGCTAAATAGTGAAAGGTCTGATGTTTTCAGTCTTAAGTTAACACTTCTGAGCATTAAAAGAATGTACACAGAAAGATGTTTCATGCTGTGGTCAGCGTCAGTGGCTTTTGAAAGCATATTTTAACCCTGCTTTTTCTGACTCATGTTATCCCTTTCTTTTGAAGAGGAAAATGGCATAAGAAATGTCTTATTGTTAACACATTTTCTTTAAACCAGTGGACAGCATGTTGCTGCTTACAGCTATACAAAAAATGGCTGCAAAAAAAAGTTATTACATCAGAATGCTATCAGATATAAAATGTTGAGTGGGTGATTAATTAAATTTAACTTTTAAACTTGACAGTAAAGCTTCCTTTAAGCTTTCATATAAAATCTAAAAAAAACGGACACTATAGTCTCTGTATTCACTTATTTTAATAAAACAAGTTCAGTTTGCCTTATTACACTCTACATTTTTCAGTAGAATTGCCCATAAATTTCATTTTGGTTAAAATGCATTGGTAATATTCTGGTATATTTTATTACTTTTTTGGGGCTTTAGTCCATTGTCACTTATGTTTATATCCATTTATATAATGCTCAAAGGTTCAACCCACCTAGTATATAAACCCTGTGTCCTCCAAGTCCGAGTCCAGAGCATACATTATCTATATTTTTGCAATTGGTAATAAGCAAGTATTCTCATTTCAATAGCATAACATATTGGTTTGCTGAATACAATTTTTAATGTATTTTTAATGGGAACATGGGAACAACAAGCACTTCCATAACAACCAACAAACACATAAGCTTGACTTAAATGTAAAGCTTGAAAAGGTTTTTTTTTCCTCAGGCACATTAAGTTTTAATACAGTATATACCCCTTTAGGCTAATAAATTTAATTAAAATACACTCTTGGATCAGAAGATATTCATTATGTGTTTTAATTACATTAAGGAGACTCACTGCAAACTTTCTGCTTTACTTCCTAAGCACCCACATCGCCTACCAGACACAATCATTTTTCAAAGCTAGGTCTTTAAGACTCAGTTCAGATTTTTGCCTGAAATGTGAAACCTTGGACTCCTCTTTGATCCTAGTCTCAGTTCTAAACAGCTATGTTCAGAACTTCAGTTGGAAATCTTTCTTCCATCTCGAGTATGGTGCCTGATTATGTCCTGTGCCTCAAACTATCCTAGGATATATACTGTACAATTAATATGGTTCAGTGTTTCAGAAACTTTGCACCTGATACATTTATCATACAAGCTTCATATAATCTATTTGCGTTTTATTAAATAGCTGGAATTGCTGTGGTTCTTCAGGCAGCTGCAGACAATGCACATTAGATCAATGAGCATTTTAACTATCGGCTCTTTTTCATATTAATAGTTGTGGAAAAAAATAAAGTGAATTTAGGAAATTTCCTTAGTAGGTAACACATTTCTGGCAAGCCCCACTTGTTGATCTTGAATTTTGTGAAAGTTATTGGAGTGAATAAATGGTAAAAGCAAAATACAGAGTACAAAGCGGGTTTGTCGTTTATTTGAATTATCTTGATATAATTTTCATATAAATTACAAAGGAACGCTATATTTGTTTTGAGTGATTTTCATTCAGTGTGAAAATACTATCTCTTTTTTGTCAAAAGATTAGCTGTTTTCAAATGCATTGATGAATAAGGTGAATAAATAATTTATATTCACTCAGGAAATGCAATTGGTGCTTAATATAGAATACTTTGTTAGAAATAGACAACTTTTTATTTTTAATATTGTACCAATATTAATAAAGTACCCCCCATATTTGTACTTGTTTCACTCATTAAGTCTTGTTTTAAAATGTCAGATTAGTTATTATAGTATGCATATATTGAACAAATTTGACTTCTTAGTTTTTTCCTTTGCCTAGAACTTTAACTTTACAGGTTAAACTTTAACAGGTTTTGTTGCATTTGCATCCAAGTTTTTGTTGTCTTGGATGTTTACTGTTCTTATTTTAGGAAGAGTGCACTGCAGATTTTGATTAACATTGATTGCGTCGATATACTGTGTAATATGTCTGTTTTTGGAGTAATTGCCCTGCCTATATAGTGCTTGTATTCTCTTACAAGTCTTTGAGCTGTGTTGGTAACTTAATTTCCCCCTTGTGTCATCACTTGTTCAAATGTAGCGGTCTAACGTTTTACACCCCGCAAGGAAGGATTTTGTCTGCTTTTGTGCTGCAGTCTTTTGAAGCATTCTTGTTATACAGAATACAGAAATGTGTTTTCAGAATCTTCAGCTGAACCCGGGCTGCTTCCTCTCTGTGGTTCTCCCATTGGAGCTGGTCCTCACTGGCTTTGTTCTTGGCTTCGCTTGCAGCCTCAGGATCCGGGCCGTGAACGAGATCGGAGCCGGAGCTTTCTGCCAGCCCCTCCGGGTGCGGACCAGGCCGTTGCCCCCAGCACCCCCTCGGCTGGAGTGCGCCGCCGCGGGGCCCCAGAGCCTCAAACTAAAGTGGGGTGACAACAGCAACACCAAAATCCTCCTTACAGATGATGTGGCCTACGCCCTCCAGATCGAGGACAAGAACAGAAGGTAAGAGGCTCATCAAACTGCTGGGGTTGATAGATCTGCAGTAAGAAACAGCCAAACCAGTGCTTTAGTAGTTCAGGTGGGTAGCTGCGTCAGCATGCGTAGGCTGCAAAGGAACAAGTTTATTCCATGCTGAAAAAAAGAAGAAAGAAAACACAAACGTTTCGGCCGTGGAGCCTTCTTCGTGCTTTCCTCCTGAACTTCACTGTCTTTATTGCAAGCATGGATATGAAGGTGTTACATCTACAAAGGAGGTTTGGTGACTGTTGGGGCTGTTTAGATCTGGTCTTCAGAGATCTGAGTCTAGCTACAGTACATATGCTATGTACCGTATATTCCCATTTGCCAGTCAGACTTCTGTCTTTTTTCTTCTCGATTATTGATCACATTTATGAACATTAGGAAGGTTTCACACAAGATGAGGTCATTCGCCCCATCTGTCTTGTTTGGTTGCTAACAACTGATGCCAAGATCTAATTTAGTCAGGTGTCAGGTTCACCAGCATGGCTGGGTAGCTTTTTCCATAACCCAACAGCCTTTAAAACTAACAAGTTTAAAGTATTGGTTTTCATTGGGTCTAAAAGGTAGAAGCTTTAGTTCAGTTTATTTTTGTAATAAAACCTTTTTGAAAAAGATGTGTTTCTCTAGGACGGTTTTTCTGTCTTTATTTTTATCTGCATGTCTGTGTGTTATTTAGAAAAAAACTATGGAAAACTACCAGTTTTTCAGGGTATTTTTTTAGATTGCAATGTAATTTGATTCTTTGAAGCAGTGTTTTTAAGTGTACTTTAAAGTTTCTTTGTATTTTTAAAAACACATTAGAATCCCGGATAGGCCTAAAACCATAACTAATTTAATGAAATACAGAACCACTCACTGAACTCCGAAGTTAAATTGAAAAGAAAAGGTTGCCTTTAACTGCAGTTTAATGAGTGTGGCGGTTGTGGTAGCACCACCACTTAAGCTTAAGTGAGCACATTTGCTTCTACTCGTTAGCTTCAGACAGTTGGCTTTTCTGTGCAATCTCTCTGAATCCATTGTGTAATGTATAAGACTGAATTATCTGAGTTAAAAATAGTGCCGTATTTGACATCCAGCTCAAGCAGACTTTCATATATGGATCCAAGATGCTGTTTTTAAGTTTTCATTCAAAGGCAAAGAGCAGGATTTCAAGACTTTATTAAGACAGAGTGTAAACAATTCCTTACAAATGTACCTTGATTTGTTTGACATTTACTTAATAAGTTTGACTGTTCCGTTCAGTAAAGAAGAGGCCATTAATTTATAATGTGTTAGAAGAAAGAATTTGCAGTATACATTAGTTTTAAAAGGATGTCTGTCTTCTAAATACTGTAGAAAATTATAATTTAAAACCTGTGCATTTAAGAATTTTCTTTTTTCAGTATTTGTATTTTTGTATGCCACAGTACAACCATCTCTTAGTACTGTTTTACTAAATATTTGATGTATGTGCTCTTATTGTTTTTCTCTTTCAGGTGTTCTAAGTAGCAATCTACTACTCAGTTCTGCACATTTCGCCTTCTGTAAACATTTCTTGTAGAAATGCAGTTCAGATAAAAGAATAGCATAAAGAGCAAGTCTAAAAACTTTTGTCTATTCGTTTAAGATAGATACAGCTGTCTCTAGTTCCAGCAACTCTTATTGTTAAGTTTGTTATTGCTTCCCATGGGCAATAGATGAAGGCTCTAATGCCTTATGGAATTATGAGATAGAGCCAAATCACATTTTCAGGTTCATAAACAAGGCGAGCAAGGAATATAATAATAACAACAACAACAACAACAACAACAACAAAAAAAAAAATAATAAAACAAAATCACATTCTTTCATAGATCTGGCAAACATTTCATTCACTGATCACTGTTTTTCATGTGTTATTTTTATTATTTAAAATTATGATTAACACTCTTCTTTAAGCACACAACCCTATGCTATCCGCATGTTACACAGTACTGTTCTTTGATTTAAGGTCTTTGAATTTGAAATCCCCATTTAAATTTCTTTCTCATTCTGAAACAACTTAGTGATATGAATAGATTTTTGTGTTTAAGCTATTTGATTCAACAGGGAATGTCTCTGTGGTTGAGTCTGAACAGAGGTTTTGACTCTGTGCAAGCTTTAAGTCTGAGCCTTCATTAGATGACAAATTATATGAGTAATGTTGTTCCGAATGGCCTATAAGCAATTTCTGTCTTCTATGAAGACATTTCAAATGCATCTACCCTATCACTTTAGAGGACATTGATTGATGAAAACCAATACTGATAGCTTTTGGAAATCAAATTACCTTCATCCAGTATCTGTCTCGAAGGTACCCTATGATATAGTTATGTGTGCTTTGAGCTCAGAACGGCAATATAAGATGAGCAGTTTTTGAACTAATATAAAATATATGGATTACCTCTTGAGTGAAAATGACACTCAGGTTTGTCTGTTTGTTCAAAAACTGCAAGGGGGTGCATGCAGTTTAAAGGGTCATGTACAGTTCATTTCCTTGAAAATGAAATACTGTGTGCAGGGAAACATAACAAACAAAACTTTGTAGAGAAGCAAAGTATTAAATCTTTGCAGCAGGTGATGAAGGTTTAATTCCTACTGATGCCTTTTGGGATGGCATCCAAATTGAATCTTGAGCTGCAGTTAGTTTTCAGAGCCCAATCACAAGGAAGGAAAAAGGGCACTTTCCATGAGGAACATAAAGCCCACTTCCATAAATAGATTGGCTATAGAGGAAAATTAACATCCGAACAACACAAATGAGCACTAATGTGAAAAGTTGGAGATACTCATATCTGTATGCCAGATATTGTTGCATAACAACATTACACAAAAAAGGCGATGAAGTGTGGCAACTACAAAAATGGTGTCGCTTGGAGTATTGATTATTGATTAATTAATTGATTGATTAATTAATTCCAGCAGTTCAAAAAACATCTTTCACTTTCTCATATAGTACTTTTTATTCTCATTCTTGCCTTTCAGTGTTAAATACCAGCAGCAGCAAGCATTACGATGTCCAGACCCAGTCTTTGTCAAAACACAAACTCATTGAATAGGGTGTGCCAGAAAGACTTTATTACTTAAATCCTTGCTTTTAAACAAATAGTGGTTCACAATATTTTGCTGTCATTCCTTTTTGTAATGAGAACCTTTCAAGGATTTCTTTTCTTACAGCTGTACTTAAAGCAGATATGGGGTTTTAATGGCAGTTGCTGCTGTGCACTTCTTTCTTCTACCATCAAAACCAAAAGTGCAGGGAAGAGAGCAGAAAAAAATATTGAAGCTAAGAACCCCAGCAAGAGGAAAAAAAAGCAATTCCAGTATTTACCTGCAATGAATGACAAAATAAAACCATTCCATTGTAGAGTTGAGAGACCATCTGCAAGACAAAGTGTGAAATTTACAAAATACCTCCTTACAGCAGTGGTAACTTATTATATTCGTTGGATGTGAATGCTTTTATTCCTCAAGCAGTTCATTATTCTCGAAGGGTTCTGACATAAAATGTGTTCTTGAAAGTTTTTATGACACTCCTACATTGGCATTATTGCCAAAGGAAATAGAAGTAAGAATTAGATTAAGTACATACAGATTTCAGTATCATGTCAAGCAGTGATGCTTGGAAATCTTTTGTTGAGAGTTACTGATATACTGTTTAGAGAGTTTGTTGTGAGTGGATAGAGTGATAAATATATACAATGCATTTTATATACTGTACATTTTAGAGGTATAAAATCCTCAAAAAGTTTGAAAGCAACAGCAACACATGAAAGCACCACCACACACAGCCTCTGCCTATGCTTAAGAGCAAATTTCAGAAGGACATAAAGCAAATTTGTGACTCATTGAAATCCAATATTTACTTATTTCAAGGAGCCCAAGGCCAATAGTTGACCTATTGGTTTTTGTGTAATTGTAATGCATTTCAACATGGGTATAGACCAGAGAACAAATGTGGCCTTGAGTGTGAAGAAGATTTTGGAAGATTCACACTGGCATTAGAGAAGGAGAAGGTGATTTAGCGTGAAACTCTGAGGACAGGGTATATCTGCACAACTAGACTAGTGGGTCGCGAGGCCAGTGGGTATCCTGGGTTAAATTGAGGGTACCTCCTCCCTTCTGGAGAGTAAGCCAGTCCTTCTGGAATCTATATGGGAATTCAGCCCAGTCATTTAACTGTGTTGTTCACGGGCACAGACACCAGTATCTGCAAGGACTGAAACCCACAGATCATGCCACAGTGCAAGCAGGAATTCACAACTCTTTACTGCCCCCTATCCCATAAAACTCAAAGGGTCTTGAGAATTTCAAACCATCCCCTTCTCTCGATGAAACTGCCTACCTCTGGTTCTTTAGCTCATCCTTCTTATTAAGAGGTTTTGTGTAGGTTTTATTTTTTAGACTTTGCAGTGATAAAAAGGAGAAAAAAAGAAGTTAACCCCAGTGTGTCATAGACTTTTGTTTCTTGTCTGTATCTTTTTATCCCATCTTGTTTGAATATAAAAGCTAAAGACACCCTTTGATCAAATATAGAAGTTTAATATGCGGATCACATTTTATGTTCTCTGTGGATAATTAAATAAGGAAGCACATTTTTACCCCTGAAAATTAATCTATAGCCATAGCTCTTCCTAGATATAGGTAGATTATATAGGTATAATCTGTGGACATAGTTAATCCTAGGACAAAGTATTTTGTTTTTTATAGAATAAAGAATTACACTTGCTTACTGCAGTAAATTAAAAGTTGCGTTACTTACGGTGGGATTTGCAAAGATAATGTAAGAACATAAATGTTATGAACAAGAGGAGACCTATAGAGCCCATTTGGTAGTTAGTTTTTAATTAATCCAAGGGTATCATCCAACCATTTCTTGAAAGGAGCCAGGCCTCTGAGCTTAATGCTTAGAAATGGATCAGAAAACTCATTTTTGATTTCTTTCAGTCTTTTTTCTTTTCTGCTAAACCATGTCTGTGGTAAAATTGTCATCAATCATGCTTCCAGTCTTTCCCTAGTGTATTATCTTTGCTGTTTTATAGAGTTTGAATTAATCATTTCAAAAGAGCATTGAAGAACACTTGGACTCCTTTAACTGTTTTTAATTATTGTCTCGCAGAAAGTCTCGATAGCTGTAATTAGAACAAACTGATAGGTAGAAATGTGTACTTGGTTTTGAGACTGATGGCAAAGTTAATATAGTATTGTATACCTTTATAAAGATTTACCTTTATACTGAGAGTGGAATTGCAAGATGTTTAATTTTCATTTTTGCATATTTTATTTGCATAGTACTGCTCCCTGGCTGTTCCTGATGAATAAGGTTGACACCAATGACCCCTGAACTAGTCAGGCAGGGTGCAGGCATTTCCCCAGGATATATTAATTATTTCTTTGGTCCTTTTATCCTTTTTATCAGCCCATCTTTACTGTTTATATTTACTGTTTACGGGGAAGTGCTGCTTATATTTATAATAGTTTTTTTACATAGTTGGGCTGAGATGCTCTTTCATTTTAACAAAGCCCTGCTGTTAAAATTCAATCAAGTATGGCAAATTCATGGTCTTAATTCAGTGTGTTCTAGCTTTGTAAATTGGAATTGAGAGTTTGGAGGGGAGACAAATTTAAATAATTGTAAGATCACAGGCTGTTTTTTGTAGCCGTATTTTTTTTCTCTGTAATACTTAATGGCAGTGTGTTTTATGTGTTGATTTGCGCTGTGTTCTAACAGCGGAATGTAAAGACAATAAAACTGGATAAAAGGTCACGAGTTCTTAATTAGGACACCCCCAAAAAAACAGCTTGGTCATGATTCATCTTTAGTATTTTAATAGAAAGCTCTAGGGACAGGACAGTAGCCCCCATCCTCAGGCTTTCCAGCAGCCCCAGGAAAATGCAGGCTCTGTTTAGATTTAGCTTTATTATATACCTAAGTACATAGTGTTAATTATGTGCCGTAATGAAAGAAGGGAAGAAGTGTATTGAATGGGAGACTAACATGCTCCTTTGTGAATTGTGTTTTGTTTGGTGGTTGTTTACTCAGTACCTAATTGTGAGAATTCTGCTGATCTGCTCTCCTGCCAAGCTCTCACAGACAGCACAGTCATAATTCATAATTAAGAGTCTGAATAACACAAGCCTTATCATATGGGCTTTAATTCCACAAATGCCTACCGCCTGTTGTGGTGTTTTGAGCTGCTACAGGACAAACATTACAGCTGCCAGGTCTTTCGAGAGACTTCCTCTATGTACTGTATGTGTGTACATTTGTATATACAGTACATACAGTATATACAAACCCAGATTGCCTTTTCCCCCATAGTTTGTATTAAAATATTAGAATTCTAAGCAGATTAATGCTAATTCAAATGAATAGTCTTGGCTCTAATTTTAATATCATAATTAATTTTTTACACAAAAGAAAAGATGACAAATTACACAAATTACACAAGGCTCTCAGAGGTTTGCCTGGAATTACCACCGACACTGCCAAAACCGTATAAGCCTAGCACACACAGTGTAGGTATATACTCATTAGATTGTGTTATTTTCCCTTAGGTTTGTAACTATCTACCGGGGCCCAAGCCACACCTACAAGGTACAGAGGTTGACAGAGTCGACAAGCTACAGTTTCAGAATACAGGCTGTGAGCGACGCAGGAGAAGGTCCATTCTCTGAGACGTACACCTTCAGCACAACCAAACTGGTGCCACCTGCTCTCAAAGGTAAAGGATATACAAGCATCCACTGATATGCTTCAGTCAATATTCTTCAGTCAGGATATTAAGGATATTTTTATCAGGGTTTTATTGTGGGGACCAGGGATGTGCAGAGCCGGGTGGCTACACTGGCTTACACTGGCTTAAGCCCCTGCCCCTTTGCCCTCATTGGCCCAAGTGCCCTTTTTTGCTTGTAGAAAAAAACTCCAATCAATTTTTTTTGTTACTTGATGATTCTACTTCCCTATTTAGTATGGATGTCCCATTAGGGGGGAAAAAAGTGGACCTAATTGATCTCATCTGAGCACAAGTGCCCACCTCCTGTTCGTTGTAAAAGGCGGAGAAAAAAAGCAGCGATAAGCAACGTATGCTACTACACCTGTGGAGGCCATGTTAAACATTTTTGAACAGTGAGAAGATTCACAGGTTTTTCAGAAGGACAGTACAAACGTAACATACCAAGGGTGTCGTATTGAGCACTTTGTGTTTAAGAGACTATTTTCATTCACCTATTCTAGGTTTGCAGACTGATGAACTCGCCACATTATTGTCTGCACGGTTACTTAGCTAGCTAGATTTGAGATTTCCTTAAGAAAAATTAGTTAACTGAGTCGACAAAACAGTCTTTTTGTATTTGATATAAACAGCTCACATGCATATTCTTAGTTGTATAAATATGGTTCAGTCACAAACAGAAGAGCATGCCTTCAAAAGTCACATCCAAACTTCCCGTAAAATGAAAGCACACAGAAATACAAGCGGGCAATGATTTGTGTCCAGGATACTCTAATGTAACAAATCCTGCCCCAGAAAGTGCCCCTTCTTCTCTTTTGAGCCACTGCCCACCAAAAGGTTTCTGCACATCTCTGGTGGGGACCTATGTCAGCCTGCAAGCCTACAGAGTGACAGACAAAAGTTAGTTCTTCACTGTAAAGTAAAGAAGAAGCATGTTTCAGCCGTCTTCTTCCAATGTGACATCTCATATGAGCATATGATACTGTAGGGTTATCATGGTAAAAGAAGGATGCTTTTGTGATTAGCATCATTGCAGTTCACCCCAGTAAAGTATATTCTCATGTAATTGCTTTGGGATTTATGGCCTAATTGTGATATATATTAAAAATAATTTAGTATGTGCTAAATTAGCAATCTGTTTTACACTCTTGTAACTTGTTTTTGCAATTGGTTTCACATTCTGTGTCCTTTTTACTGCAAGTAGCTGTATATAAGTGCTTATTTTATGCTTCTAGCTCCTAGAGTAGCCCAACTTGAAGGAAACGCTTGTGAAGTCACATGGGAAGCAGTCCCACCAATGAGAGGAGACCCCATCAACTACATTCTGCAAGTCTTGGTTGGGAGAGAATCAGAGTACAAACAGGTGAGTTATCATTACCGATTTTGTATCTCAGTAAAGTTTTTCATCAAAGGCCTCTGTTATGTATGCTGAGAACATAACAGCTGCTATTGATTACAAATACTCATTTTTAATACATCTCAGTAGATATTACATCCTGTTTACAGCTACTTTATTCCAAATGTATTGTTGGATAGATGATATTTCAATACATTACTTTTTGATGTAACAAGCATCCAGTCACACATTCATGTCAATTCACAAAAGCCCTTTGCCTTTGCTGTTTATACACAGCTGTGCTTTGCAATATTTTACTCATCATCCAGTTTTTCCTTTATAAAGAATCAGATCTCTTGTATGTGTAGAAAGAGTAGTCTTTTAAAATGAATGTGGTGAGGAACAAATGATATTAATATTGGGGATCCAACAATGAGTCAATTAAATCTGATTGATAAACATGATGGATTAGGTACTATAACATATCATATTGGCGGCTCATGACAGTACATATAACTTTGTTTTTGTTCTCACTTTAAGTTTCTTGTCTGATGTGATGTGAAAATTGCTTTATGACAATCCTGTTTTCTCACCCAAAACCAAGCTGCATTAACAGATAAAGTTGATATAATAGAAAGCATTCATAAAAGCATAGAGAAATTTTTGTATACTCATAGAATAAATATATTCTTAGTGCTGATTTTTCTGAGTTCACGGTGGTTTATGTTTGTATATCATATTCTATTTATACAACTGTCTAAATAAATTTAGTATCTGTTGCCTTGAGTTTGAATAGACAATACATACAATCAAGTTTATCAACCATTCTAACAGTCCCTGATATAAAGGATAGGGCCATTATAGAATGCCAGTTCATTCAGTGCTTCAAAGGTACAGTTTCTCGCAAAATCTTTGAGAAAAAATGATATATAGGATAGCTGTGTAAATTTACACTTAAGGAAACAAATATATATGCATATATATGCAATTTCATAGAAGTGAAATTGAACCTCCTGCTGAAACAACCTTTGTAACTCCCAGGTAGATAATGTGTTTGTAATATAATAACATTTTAAGTGCGTTATTAGACATGGCAAACTGTGCTTTAGAAAAGACTAAGTTTGTTTTTAGAAGTTGGCAACAGCACTAAAATTAAGTTAGAGGAGAGTATTTTTCTGTTTGTTTTTTGTGATAAGGATTTTTATTGATATGTGACTGACATCTCTTCACACATGCTGAGTGTTTATGAATGAGTTCTCACAGTGAACAACCTTCTGGCTCTCTTGTTGTTAAGTATAGAGACACCTTCCTTTGATTTAATGATACTTGATAAAAGTAGTCGAAATTTTGGATGCCAAATATGCCAAGGTCCTTTGCCGAAATTGCAGTGCTGTACTTCTTTGCTCTTGTTCTGTTAGCTGAAAGATTGTCCCTGTGACATAACCATTGTAATGATCAATAAGCATTTCATCAGTTTTCAGTTTGGTCATGCTCTTAAAGCTGCACGGAAACAAAGTAAACCTTATTAATCACATATTCAACCCGATATTCTTTGAAGATTAGAATACTCAAGTGTTTTTGAGTACTCAAGACCCATGTTTTAAAATGGGCAACGTTCGTTAGGAAACATTTGCTTGATTAATGGCTGTTAATGTGCACTGTAATTATTACACAATTGGATTTTGAATTTTTAGCAGCTTGAAGAGAAAGTTGAAGTTTAATTAGCACTCTGATATAACCTGATATCTGGCAAATGCCAGTAAAAGATAGTGAATTAGAGTTATTTTAATATCCATCTAGCTGGTAAGGAGAGCTGACATCTCTGAAGACATTAAATTATAGTGATATAACTTTTAGCTTTTATGGCTCTTTTATAGCCACTTAATGTTAGAGAAGATTTTGTCCTCATTTTTTTTCTGTTAACGCTTATAAAATGTATCACAACATTATGAGATGTTACTGGAATATTAATTGGGCATGCTTGCTACATTTCCTTGTGTTTTATTCTAAGAACACAGAGTATTGCTGAAGTGCCGATGATAAGATATATCTCTGGGGCCAGGGCATTGTGTGTTTTTGTAAATTAAAGCATAAAAGCTGTAGATTATGAGGTTTCTAACAATTTAAGCCTCATACATTTCATTCGCCCACTGCTGTTGTATTCTGCATTATTGCTTTAGTGCGCAGCTCTGTCATTTCAATGAGAAGTTCATTTCAGCTTGCGTTTCCGATTGCATTAATAATGGGAAAAGAAGGGTAATTGCTCATGTTCTCGCTGCATAATTTTTTTAATTAAAGAATTTTCCAATAGGTATCCCTCATCATCCATGTAATTGACAGGATTTGGGTGTGCTTTTTTAGAGGAAGTTTTTACTCAGCAGTTTGTAAAGTCAGTAAATTAAAAAAGCCCTGGGGGTCTTTCAAGAAGATGTCAGGGGAGCAGTAATGATGACTTAAGCTTCCTACTGTATATGTATATGCAGCTGTGCCTGACCACATTTATGTATAGTTCATATTCCTGTGCATATTTTCCAAGCTGCTATATCCCCTTCTAAATACCCATTACCTTTGAAATATGTTGCAGAACTGCAGAAAAGAAATAGCTTCTCCTGTTTTCAAAGTGATTGTTTAATTATTACCCTTTTCATCCACTTGCTTAAACCCAGTGATACCTTGACCCTTTACAGTTTTAACAGAGCATAAAATATATGTGGACGTGCAGTAGCATTTTTGGATTTTGTTCACAGTCATTTTCAATTGTTGATTTGGTAAGTGTGCCATACTGTATAAATGTATATAGACCTTTGTACTTGTACATTGTACAATCTGGTCCTTCTGATGATTAACATGGCTGTTTAAATCAGAGCTTATTCTGCATTAATAATGAGAAATATTCCTTACATTTAAACAGAACCTTTCAGCCCAACAGGATCTCAAACACATTGTGCCATTAGATTCTACCAGAATATATACACTACTGACTCACCTGACTTTTTTTAATCTTTCATTTTATAATCTTGTTAGATCAAGTTAGACAGTCCTGCATTTACATAGTGAACTTATTTAAGATATTATTGTGGCTATAGGCAAAAATGCATGCAGAAAGCATTTTTTCTTATAAGTGGAATTAATGTTTTTCAGTCCCATTTTACTGTTTAAAGGTGTGGGGTATTCAACTATAAATGTCATGTATAATGTACTAAGGAAAGGAACTTATATTGTATTGAAATGAAAAATAATTTCTCTCAGACACATTTATGAGACGTTCTGCGCACTACAACAGGGACATAAGCCAGAAAATAAACAGATTGTATAATTCTTCTCACAGGGGTACTTAGAATTCCCTCCGGCTCTCTTTGTCAGCCTATGCAGTTATTTTTTATGAATTGAAATAGATGTATTTATAAATAATTACTTCCTGTGATGTGTGCAGTGGATTTTTTTTTCCACCAGTTTTAATTGGTGCTGCATTCTCCAGCTGCTTAGTAAATACTTTAATTCACAGCCAGGGAATAACACTGTTCTGTTTACCAAAAAAAACATCTTACTAATCCTGGAGACAGAGGAGTATCACACATTTAAAACCCAATCTTTTACAGAGGCACTTTATTACAATTTGAAAAATTACAACAGGACTTATTTTTGGCAAGTAATGCCTTCTTTCAGTATCTTCAATTGAGGGGGGAGCTAAACACATTAGTCAAGACTCAGTCTACCATTATTACCATCTCCTCTGACTACCATGCTGAGGGAAATCACAGGAACACAGAAAATCTTACCCAAGATCTATACAGTACATGCCTCCCTGGGTGAAGATTTATATCCCAAGGCATAAATAGAAAAGGGATTTACATTTTGACTCTCATAAACTTTTTGAAAAACTGTATTTTTAATGTAGTGCCCAATCCAGTTTAATCAGTATAAAATATTCAATGGAGTTCATCACGCAGCTAAAAGATTGATCTCCTTTGGCCACATGTAGTGGATAGCTACATTCATGTCTTATAGCATAACCCATCAATTATTCAGTTTTGGAAGAAAATTTTAGATAATGTATCGGTTTTCTTGGGCTGTAACATTGCCATCTCCCCAGCTGCTTAATTGGTGATCTTTCATCTGGTGACTTGTCTCTGGTAACTATTTTACTTCCACTCACAACAGCAAAAAAGGTGAGGCAATTCCATTTACCAGTGGCTTAACGTAATAACCAAATTACAAAGGTAATGCAAGCTGGGAGATAATTTCAATACCAATGTTTAAATAAATTGACTGCCCTCTTTGAGCAGATGACCATTAGCCGAGATCAGCAAAAGAATGCTGATTTACGTGCAGTACTGCAGCCTTGTGGTGGCCTAAATCATGCTCCAGACTCAAGAGGGGGCCGTCATAGATGCCTCTGAGAGTGTTGTGGATATAAGCTATTTGAGAAATAGGAAGCTGCATTGGCATGCAAACACACAATGTCTGAAAAAGAGCCCACGGCTGAAATAGTGTTTTTTTTACCATTCAGGATGGAATGAACCTGTTCCTGGTCCTAAGCTTTTTGACGCATAGGTTTTAAATATTATCTGACTTATAGTTCAAAATGTAAGCACTTGCTGAGCTTGTTAAAACCATCTATTAAATGTTTTTTGGGTGTAGGTGAATGATTCATTACCTCCTCTGTTCTCTGTTTGTTAATGATATTATTTTTTATTAAAAATCTGATTCCCTTTTCCCATTGCTAAACTCTTCTACATACCGATTTATTTCTGGCTTTAGGAGTTCATTTAAAATTGTGAGTCTTGGTAGATCAAATCTAAAATCTACCATTTTGATCTTTCTGTCTCATTCACTACTGAATAACTGTATTGTAAATGGCTATAAATGTAAGAGCTCCTTTTACACTTATTATTTCTGTCTTATTATAAAGGTATATTTCATTTTCCCAAGAAATAATATAGTTATTTTTTTAATATACCCAGACAACTTATTAAAAATAATATTAATATATATCCTGGGCAGTGCAGTAGAAATTTCTCTGTATGTTAATATCTGTTTACATATGCCCTTGTTATTCTGTGGAGCATGATTTTGAAGAGGACCTGGAATAATTGATGTTGTGCACGTGCTGTCTAAATCTGTTGCCCCATTAGAAAATTAAATGAATTCCAATAGGCAACCAATCTGCACATAACAAATTGATTCTTCTAAAACCTTGACAATGATAAAGCTATTTTGGCTCCTGTCATCTGTTTGGGAATCTTCCATTTGGAGTCCCTACACATACTAGGGTATTAGGTAACTAACATTTTTACTGGATACAATGCTGTTTCACTTATCATGTGTTCAGACTTGATACTGATCCTTAATTGCAGTCCAGTGTGTTATTACTGGTGCTGGTCTTAGTTTAAAGTGCAATTTTAAACCTTTGCGCTTAAGCCATCATGTTAACCCACTGGGGAAATTACACAGTTCTTTCCCTGAAAACGTCTTTCTTTTCTAGTCCAAGTAAGTAGCTACGTCAGCATGCGTGGGTTGCAAAGGAACAAGTAATACTGTAGGTTTATTCCACGCTGAAAAGAGAAGAGGCTGTGGAGCCTTCTTCGGGTTCCTTTCTTCTCTTTTCAGCATGGAATAAACCTTTCACTTGTTCCTTCTCTCTCTTCTGTCCAGTTCTGTTGTACTTCCTAATCCCTTTTTTCTAGTTCTTTTACTAGAATTTGCTTACCATATGGCCCCTTGCTTCTCAGAATTTGCCACCTCTAAGGACACAAATAGGGCCTCACTCACACCAGGACCAGTTTTCCCAGAAGCCGCTTAACCCCCCAGAGCTCCCAGAGGAAACCCTTGGGTACATAGGGAGATACACATGTTTTTAAAATTTTGGTGAGTGTAGTCTAAGTCCATTTCAGTAGCAGGTTATTAACATGCTATTTTTAATCATGCCTGTGTGGTATAAATGCCTGTATTCTGTAGTCTGTAATTGTGCTGAAATACAGGACTTCAGTTTTTAAAGCACTTGGAAATGTGAATAGGTATGCAGGTCAAAATAGTTTACTTTTACTTGGGACCTTTGAAACATTTTGGATATCTTGACTGCTGACTACAGAAGCAGAACCCTCTGGAAGTGTTTAGATTGTTCTAGTTTTAATTCATAATCTTAAAGTAGTCTGTTCCTGTGTTGAAGTGCCTGCACATCCGTTTTCTGTGTTTGGTTTGGCTAGATAATATATCAAGTTAAAATCTGACCTTAGAATGCCTTGAAGAAGCTACATAACATCTTCAGAACTGTCACATGAATGATGTTCTTTCCCACAGATCTCTTAAAACACCCTGTTTTTTTTAGCAGGACTCAAACAAACATGACTAGCCTTTTGTCTCCAAGAATACAACATTCTGCAATACATCAGTTTTCCTAAACAGGAATAATATTGATGAGTAGGAGGGTTAGAGATAGTGTTAATACCTGTAAATGAAGACTAAATGCTTGTGTCAAAAGTCATAATTGAACTAAAGTGCAGGAACCAAGAAGAAAATGGGGGGAAAATTAGCTGAAGAGTATTCAATTAACTACAGGAGAGGAGAAACACTTGCAAAAAGAAACAGCTTTAGCCTTGTAGTCAGGCAATTTAGAATTAATTTGGTTAATTAGTGTTTGTAGGTTTAAAATTGATTAATTTAAAGAGTGTCTGGAAGGGGGTTCGTGAAAAGGATTTCTTCATCTCTGAAATGTTTTGGGGAGCTAATGAGGGAATTAATTTGGGTAATCTACCAACTAGCTTTACAATTAGCATCAATTTATGTAACATACAGCTGTACAAGGGATAGATTCAGAAATAATTCAGAAATATTCTATATTGTACTGTAGTTGTGATTCATGTGGATCCCACAAAATGCAGCTGCTGTTTATGGCTAGTGAGCAGGGAATATTTCTGGTTTCCAAACACAATGTGACATATTGGAATACAAATATTAATTAGTATTAAGTATCTGCCAGACTCAGGCCTGAAATCAGGGTTTCATACATCCCAATCTGCAATAACCTTCCAAAACATCAAGAAGGTTGTTTAAAACGCATTCAAGTTTTTTATTGCTGATTATCATCATAAAAATAAAATCGAGAATAATTGCTCTCTGCTATAGCTTTGTAGCCTTTCCTTTAAAAAAATTACAAGCTAAAAGGGTGCAAATATGCTGTTATGATGCCTATAATACAGTTTATAATACAGTTTCATCGTGTATTCTGTATGTATGTATTCTGTATCTGAATTTCAATGCAAAAGCTTTTTAAACACAATTGCCCTTGTATGATGAGCACCGTCAAAGCCAAACAATATATTTTCAGTATTTAATAAAGTGGATGCTTATTCCTAATCTTGTACACCTAAACTAAATATAATTTCTTCTTTGAAAATTAGTCTCAAGAAAGGCACCACAACCATACTGAAATGGACATTTTGTTTTAAAGAAATGGCTAGCCTACAACTTTTCTTACATTCTTAATTAATCTTAATGCTGATATTGTTCAGAATCATAGCATTTTGTCCTCCTGCCTCTCAGAAATCCTCCCCATTTTGTAAAATGCCAAGCTGTTTTGCAGAACTGAACATTTCCTAGAGTTAACTGTGTTTTCTATCATTTAATTTTAAGTAAACACCTGGCAGATAGAGGGCTTGCAGCTCTTTGTGCTTTGAGTATTTAAAAAACAAGGACACCAGTACATCCTGCAGATCATGGGGAGTGCTCACTGCTTTTCACTTATCTCATTTTACATAGTGGCACAGGGTTTATTCACTCAAATTGAATTCATTGGACAATCTACAGCACTTTAATTAAGTGATTAAGTCCACGATTACATGCTTGAAAACAATATTTTTCCTTTAATTGTTTCTTCTTAAAATACCCTGTAAAAAGAATCGCAACATACTAATGGCAATTTTTTAATATTATTATTAAATGTTTCTCATTGTAAAATGGTGTTTTGCATTTAGTAATGAGCATTTCATTTAAGTGAACAACACTTTGGGGATTAGTTTAACTGATTTTGCAGGAAATAATAATCTTTTAAAAAACAAAACAGAAAATGAGGAATAAAGCTATAATTTTTGCCATGTTATGCAAATGTAAAATGTGGAATTAAGTATTCTTGGTTATGCAAATAATATGCAACTTATATAATGTCAATATGAAAGAGTAAGGAAAATGTATACGTCTCATCGATTATGGCAGCGTCTTCAAAATACAGTATATAGTGGTTTATATTAAAATGTAGATGTTCACAATAGGGTATATTTGTGTATTCTAAAAAAGAAGAAAAACAAAATCTTTTTGAGCCAAACTCTGAAGTACCTTTTCTCTTATCCATCTTTTGAGTTTTTAAATGCAGGTGCTTGAGGTTCCAAACTTTTCTCATCTCCTCTGCTTGTCTCTATGTAAATGTTAGCTTGTGATACTTATGCAAAGTTTGTGAATGAATGGGATTTACATAGGAGGGCAGCAAGAAGTCTCTTGATCAGGCTCTTCTGTGCTGTTCCAAAATCAGAATGGGACAAGAAAAATAGTAGATGGTACTAGCTGAATACATCTTACATCTGAATACATGTAGTATGATTGAATATTAAAATACTGTACTGTGCCAACTCTGCATCCATTTCTGTGTTCCTTACAGTTAGATGTCTTCATTAAGCTCCCCACTGATTCACAATTCGGAATGTAATATCATGAAATAGTTAAGAACTGTTCCTGTAATATTCACAAAGGCGCTGCAGAGGAACGTAGCTCATAGTAGACACTGATATATGGAATAAAGTGGGTGTGGTTTTGGTGTTCTAGTAAGTTTACAACTGATGCAATTAACACTACATCAAGTTATAATACCGATGCAAAGATGAAACTTGTGTGATTTGCAATATATTACTGAGCAGTCTGGCATCCATTGTCAAACAACAAGTGGAGCAGGAAAGATTTGCCGCGTAGCAGGAGTGCGAAATTCTAATGCAGCAGGGCCATTTATCTCCAGGTAAGATTAAAAATAAAAAAACAGAACGCTCACGGAATGGGATCTGGGTAATGGTGACAGAGGGAGGGCTGTCATGTATTTCAGTCACCATAAAGGTTTAGTCAAATGTCAGAATTGTGCTGGCTGGAAGGGTTTCTCAAAATGTTCAACTAAGAGGCCTTCCGTTTCTTTTCCATCCTCAACAGATATTCAGAGGGGAGGACACCGCATTCCAAGTCTCAGGCCTTCAGTGCAACGTGGATTATCGGTTTCGTGTGTGTGTCTGCCGGCGCTGCCTGGACACCACGCAGGAGCTGTGTGGACCCTACAGCCCCTCCACCTTCTTCACTCTGCGCCGCAGCGAGGTGGGAGTGTCCGGAGGGCTGGGGAACACAGACGGCTCCAAATCAAAGGGCATCATTTCCACTGATGAACAGTTTGCCGCCCTCATTGTTCTGGGCTTTGCAACGCTGTCCATTTTGATTGCCTTTATTTTGCAATACTTCTTTATGAAGTAATACGTGCGCGATGACAAAGAAAAGAAAGAAAACTTGAGGTATATTTTTAACTAATGCTACGCATTATAGTCCCAGTATGTATTCAGATTTTTCTTGTCCTGTTTTCCTATTTCGTTTCTCCGTGTTTCAGTTTTCTGTGTTGCATCATGCAGATTTAGCTCAACAAAAAGCCTTAGGTCTTTGCTGCACCTTGTTTGGGAAAGAAAATTCTGATTAACAAGCCTTAAAAAAAGTTGAGCAAAAAGCAGTTGTTAACAGAATTGTTTGCATGTTTTTATATTTTTTTAAATCTATATGACTACAAAATATTTTCTTTACATTGATGGCCTTAACGTTTTTGTTCACTGTTTATCTTGCTTCAACTTTTTTTTTTTACAGCCATATTTGATGTAGGCATCAAAGCTTTACCAGTTTGTTACTGATCATTGCCCCAGGAAATAACGCCATGCTCCCAGAAGGCCATGGATCAAATGGTAGATGGTAGATGGATTCCACGTGGTATTAAAAAAAAATGTTCAGGGCTGTTGTATTTTTAAGAAATCACAGTACTCACATTTTGAGACTATGAAACACTAACTCCAGAGCATATAAACAGGTTATTCATATTTCAGCTTCTGAGTCAATACCACCAGCATTAAGCTGCCAAAGCACGTTTCAGTCCATGCAGAAGGCATGGTTAAATTGATGCTGCTATCCTGTATTTTAAAAAAATGGAACCAGTTATCTAATATATAACAAATATATATATAAATTCTATTGATACAGTGTAATATAAGTAATATTGGGTTTGGAGTAAAGGTTTTAAATTAAGTATGAGTCAGCGCAAAAACAAATGGTGCTTAAAATCTGTGGTCAGTAGTCTGTAGGTTCAGGTTGTAAAAATGGCTGTATGTAAGGCAAAAATGCTGCAGAGTGCCATAGCCAATCCAAAAACTGTCGGACCAGACCTGTTTTTGGTCATGCTATAGGATGCTGCAGAATTTTATTTGTGCTGATGCCCTGATCTAATGGTCTGAGCTTACTCACGTTATCTGTAGCCACTAAACAACTTGGCTAATCCATCACCCTTACTTCCCTTTGCGTATCCAGCTTCCATTCTGCAGCCCCATGATCGTGTTTAATTCTTCAGCTCCAGTAAGCATTCAGGAGTCACAGGGCCAGGCCTTGTCTGAGGTCTGCCTGAAAATAAACCTGATGTACCCTGTAAGGTAATCTCCGTGTGAAAAGCAAGTTCTGTGTTCGTTGCTTGTTACGCTGTGAAGTTCTACTTAGGACTATAACCGCCAGTAGGTCAAATAGCAGGCTCTATCCCATTCTTACTGTAGTGTATCACAGGAATACGTATGCCAAACAACAGGAAGTCCTTACAGAATCCTTTTAGCAATGTCAAGGTACAAACCAGCAGATTTCACAATTCCAAAGAGTTTCTGTGTTACGCTTGCAGCTTCTTTTGAAGTTTAATTGGGGGTTTCTGATCTTCTAGGAAACCCCCGTTGTGACAAGCCTGTATAATGTACCTCAGGGACTTGAACTTTAAGGAGGTGAAGACGCAAATATTACATTTCCAAGAGGGTGCTGCAAACACTATTTTGTATTGTGATTTTTTAAAATCTTTGTTAGCCTGTTAGCTTTTTTTCTTCATTGCCTAAGCTGTGCCTTGCTCTGTTGTCCATAAACAAAGTCGTTTACTAGTTAAAAAAAAAATACCTTTACCAAAGTTAATGGGAAAGTAAGGTATAATTCTTTTTTAGGTTTATTTATACTATATATTGCATACAGTACTTTAAATGCCAATTACAGTGCAATCTTCATTTATTTATTTTTTAAATTTAAGAGACAAGTGTAGTTATGTACTAATTTTGTTTTCTTGTAGCATGTTATATTTTTTTCTGTTTTGTATTGTCGTATTTTAGATTTACATTTACAGGCCAGCATTCCTAATATCAATAACCCTTTATGTGTTTGTTAGTTTTTCAATAATTGGGAACATGTAGTGCATTCATTGTCAGTATCAGTACAGAGGTTTACGTGTATCCAAAATGCATAATCATCTCCTTTCAAAACAAGTGCTGACCTACAGCGTATTTTCTTTGCCTATATATATGTAGCAGATGTTAGACAGGTTATGGTTTCGTTAATGGGCTATAATTTGGCATTGCAAATTAGTGTTATTGAGCTTTTAAACTCATGCCTTTCGCCAAAGTCAAGGCTTGTCCACTTCTTATTTTTGCTTTTATTTAAGAGATTATGTGATGAGATACTTTGTGACACTACATTATTATCTGGAAAAGGAAACTAGCAGCTTCTGTGACTGTAATGATTTTTTTTGTTAAACAAATTCTTGTGCCATTAATTGTGTAACCCTTTTGAGAACTTTAAAGAATGATTTTACACTAAAAAAAAAAAACCTTTAAAAAAGCAATCAGCAGGTTGGAGAAGGAGATTTTTCCCATAATTTTGCTTGGATAGCACAATAGTGAACATATCCAGTATTTTGGTGATATAATATATAGAGATAGCTATATAGATATAGTATGATGGTAAGAAAAACTAACAGAAATGAAGCACTTTTTAAGCAAAACAGTTGTTTTAAGCAAATCTTATTATAAGGTATCAAAATTAAGCTGTGATGCTTAACCAAGCAGCATTCATGGTTTCTAAAGCAAGTTTGATAATTGGAAAATACATGATGCAAAAGTCTATCCAGCTGTTCTAAATAGCTAACAGTCACAAATCTGGCAAGAAAATGTTTTTTTAAATAAATTAATTCAAACATTTTAAATTTTTGGGAAATGCTTGGCTGTAAATGAATGAACGAATTATGCTTAATTAAAGCATTTAGTTCAGATTAGCTGGATAGACTCCTTAATGTTGCTGTAAATGTGTTTGATACCTTTGGGGTCACATCAGAAAAACAGATCTGAAAGGAGCTGAAATCATCCCTGAGTGGACCGTGAGATGTTCTATGTTTGTTGTTTCTAACAGAAATGATGGAATCTTAATACACTACCCTGGCCAATGATCAGTACTGTTTCAATGTTACCCATTTATAGAAACAGAAGTTTTCAACGTTATCTTTAATCTGAAAAATGTGTATTTTTACCTCACAGTTAGACAAACATTCCAAGCTTTTTGTGATTTACGATTAAAAAGAAAATCATAAACTTCTTCTTGTATTGTAAATTTTAGACAATTTCATATGCATTATATTAAAAAAACTGCCATATCAATTTTAAATGTATAGATTTTGCAAATATTACACTCTGTATGTAAGACTAAACTGTATCTGTAGCGTATATGTAATATATTTATGCCCAATAAATGTTTTAATTTTTTCTGACATTGTTTCAGATGCTTTTTTACATGATTTCAGCATGTAAGGGATTTAGCTTCAGGTGACTTAGCTTGGGTTCAACAGTATTGCCTTGCAAGATCGCAAACAGCCCTTTCAGAGAAATGTAATATAAGTGTAAATGTAAAATCATAAAAGTGCACTTCTGGCTACACACACTAAATGAGATGTAAGATAAATTCAGCAGTAGTTTTCTCACTCTTTGATGATGAGTGTTTATCACTGACAATCTTGCTTGCGTGTTGATGCTATCACCAATGTAAAATTCCACAAGAATCAGACTTGCAATATTTCTTTTATTGCAAGGACACCCGAGTTGAGCTAAACCCTTCATACGTCGGTGTATCCTGCAGTCTAATTACCATAAAATTGATTACTATAAAGAAACTATAAACAGGCATGGCGATGCCATCTGCATTAGACCACAGCCATCACTATCTCTTTAAAACTGTTCGTTTTATACCTTCTCAGAATTGGAGGATTCAGATTCAGTTTAAAAGATTCAAACTAAAAGAAAAAAAAAAAACAGTTCACCTGTTCCTCGATTTCCTTCATTCATTGGGTCTTTAAAGTTTCTTTTTATTTTAACCATGATGATTTAATAGTTTTGATTACAACCCTGGGAGAGAGGACAGCAACCAGATTCCTGCTCCTCTAATGTATAGTCCTCCATTATGTCTCTTCCTGAAATGCTATAAAAATCGCAGGAAACCCCTCTTCTCCTCACTCCTAGTTTTTTGCATCCCTCATTTGACATTGCTGGTTTTACAGCCACCCCTTGGTTAAATTCACTTTGCATGGGTGCCCTAACGTCCTCGTCCTATGACCAGATGGTTGGCCTGGGTTAAGCTAAAACTCTTTAAGCCTAATCTTTCAAATAAACGTGTCAAACAATTTCTTATTGGGTGCTGTAATCCCTTCTGAGTTCACACAGCTCCAGAAAGATTTTACTGCTCTGTCAAGATGTAGCACAGTTTCTGAATCACCAGGTAATCCCGTGGTGTAAATTCCAGTATAGAAAAACATTATCCTAAGATTAATAAGGCTGAGACTTTTTATAATACCTGGTTAGAAAGCTCAGTCAATGCTGTAAATAGCTTAATTCTGAATTCTCTAAGACAACTTCTGCTGTATTCTGTGAACTGTCAGGCACCTGAAATTTTACTTTTCACAGCAATGCTTAAAAAATTAACCCTCATTGCTATTCCGATGTTAATCTTGCTTTTGTAATTGGTTGAAGTGATTTTCGTTACTTTTCCTTGCGCTACCCAACACTGATGTGCAATTTAGGTTGTAAGTTTTGAAAATTGAACATTATTTCAAGAATTGTAAATATTTACAAGCATAATGAGCAGAGCAAACTGCTCACATCATGCTTTCAACTAAAAACATTTTTGTGAGTTTTTTTTTCATGAACCCACCTCACACATAACTATCAGTCTGTCTGTTGAGTTTGCAATATGTTCTATTATCAGTGTAGAGAAAAAAAATCTCTATAAAATATAAGGATGTGTTTATTGTTTGAACTGCTGGCTATAGTATCATCAGAGCATTAACTGATATACTCAGCAGAAATTACTGTTAGATAGAGTCTTCAAAATGTGTTTCACCTCAAGTGAATAAAGGTAACCAGGAGAACATGTTTTCAATTGACATTTGAAACTCAGCTGAATGTGAAGGAAACTATTCTAACAATGTTAAATCTATATTGTTGGTGAAGTTTGCTCTGAAAATTCCTTTTGCACCATTTCCAGCATCATGTAGGATTCTACTGGACAATGTGTTATCTATGAACTGTGGGGAAAAGCACTTTATAGTGTCTTTGCTTGTTATTTTGGGTGTTTTTTCAGTCTGTGTGGAATAATTCATGAATACCATTTCCACTTTTAGTTTAACTAAAACTTAAAGAGCAAGTAGTTTCTATTCGCTGTGGAAATATAAGTTTATAAAAATTGTAACATTGTCACCAAGAACCATAATTCTAATCTGATCCAAGAACATTTTTTAAAAGTGTTTTCCAGTTTTGAATATACAATCCAATGTATGGATAAGGATAGTAGATCAATATTTTATGAATGTTAAGGAACTAATGCTTAGTTTTATTTTGTAATTCTTAAAGGTCTGTGTCTCTGAAACTGAACTCCCCTGACAGTGGGTGTTGTGTAGTGTTTTCAGTATCTTTGTCTTCACATTTTCTTTATTGATCACAAAGGCTAACACAGGTGGGTGGATTATTTGCATGTATACAGCAAATCAGGTACAGCCTGAACTCAAGATTTCCTTATTTGGAGTAAGACATACTGTCTCTCTGTTCTGGTATTCAAATACTGTTGTGAAAACTGCAAGATGGAGAAATATGATTATGGAAAGATCTTGTCCATATTGAGCACACAGAGTATCTACCCATGGGCAGTGTCTGCACACTCCAGCAGACCAGAAGACACTGCCACGATGTCTGGCCATGCTGTCCTGTTTAGGTCCACTGTCATTGTCTGGGAGTGTATTCCCCCTTATGGTCCCATTTATAGGTTATTCAGCTTTTTCTGTTCCACTCTGCACATTCTTCCTGCTTATTCTTTTTGTGTATTAATTATAGCAGTTATTTGTAATTGTTTTCATTTGCATATACTAAAAGATACAAGATAAAAGATCAAATCTGAATGAATTCGACAAAAACAAAGACCAAAACAACCAGATTTATTCCTAGATAGTTTTATATAATACACGTGTTCCTACAATTACATAAATATATAAAAATAAACAGAAATAAACGTCTTTTGTAATACATGTTCTACTCTAAACTTTATTTATTTGGAACTGCCCAAATTTGCTATAACATTTGTAGCATTAAAAACTGCACATTATTTGTCTTGCCGTAGTTCGAAAGAGCTATATGTTGTCTGTAAAGTAAATCTTAAACCTTGAGAAAAGACCTTGAGTCTTCCATTAGTTTTGTTTTGTATATGTAATATCTATAGTCCCTCGCAGATTTTCGCTTTTCGCGGGAGGTCTTGGAACCTATTCACCGCGAAAAGCGAAAATCTGCACATCTGACCGCACTCTCAAAACAAAAAAAAAACAACGCTCTTTTTCTAATCGTGGGTAATTAAGAGAATATTCCAGAGCATACTGCTTTTTTCGCATTTTTTGACACATGGAAAGTGAGGGGGATGACGAAGGAAAGGTATAAAGGTCTTGTTAACAAATTATTTTTCTGCCCAGTAAACGACTTTATTTTTTAGCGTTTTTATACGGTTTTAAATGTTTCTTTGTTATTAAATCCATTTTAGTCATTTGACAAAATAACGAAAATAAAGGCATTTTGTTTTTCACTCTCTTTTAATTTCATTTTGCGACTGGTTCACTTGGGCTGGTTGGGGTTTCTTTTCTTTGCAGAAACATGCTGCTTCTTTTTTTTCCTTCAGCTCCTTGAACATCATATGGTATAGCTCGAAGACCCGCTGAACAATCTTAAT